ATTAATTTAATTCTTACAGCAATCTGTGATGTTTGGCCCCTAATCCACTTCCTAGACGTTTTAGTCGCGCTGTACATGTAAATTCTGTCCTTGGCGAAAGAGGGGTTGTATAATTGAGCGTGAGAAACTTCCAGTTTTTGCAAAAAAAGATTTATTATTATCATCATGTGGACTTGTTCTCCACCATGTCGTGATTAGTGTGAGAACCGGAAGGTCTAATAATCACAGTGATTTTCGTATCGATTATCGTTTTTATTGATACATTATTTATCAGGAAATGTAGGTGTACAGCATGTGAATAATACAAGCCAGGCAGAGACCACAGCTATACATGTAAATAACAGCGTCTCACCAAAGGGCAAAAATAAAATGAAAATAGAAGATAAAAGATAGAAAATGAAATAGAAAACAAAATGTATTTATGTGTTAATTGCATGCAGTATGAAAATCTGAATCTGATTTTACGAATTTTAAAAACGTGCATCAAGTATCAATTTCAAAAATAGACCTAATACAGACGTATAAACTATTACAAGGACGTACGTCATATTTGCACCCGGCGGGGGAGGGTGTAACGCAGCGCCCATGCAGATAACACTAGTATGAGTATGCTCTGATTCTGACTGATTAACGATAGGGGCTATAATTGTGCACTATCCAGTAATTAAAGCGCAATGATCCTGATAATGTCATCGTGAACAAGTTGAAATGATAACCCGTCGATGTCTGCTGCCAGGTTCGACGACCATTATTTTGATAGCGGACTAGAGTTTTCAGACACGAGGTTTTCAACTACAGGTAGGTCTAGTTTGTTGACAAGCCACGGATGAATTTAATAGCTGTGGAATTAATGTGTTTATATACTTTGATAACCCAGTCTGTCTTGTAAAAGGACAGCCATGACACGGGCCAGACTTCCCTGTGGGTCAGGTAGAGTCTTCTCTCACTTCGGTCAGCATTTTAGAGTATTGGTCGGTAAAGTGCAGGAGCAGCGCAAGGAACAATGGTGCGTCTATATCTAATTAAAATATCATTTTTACAAACTGTTTAACTTCCTTTCTCACAAGCAGAGTAATGATTGCAGAATGACACTTGAATTGGAGAGAATCGTAGTGGCAATCATGAATCATGCGCGTATCAATTAGGTATCTAAGTGCTTGTCAGTTTTTGGATAAGTATTGAATAAAGAGATATAGGAGCACCAACTTCAGTTTGACCTTTTCACAGTAGCTGATATGGGCCTCTTTGCTACCGTTTATGACTAATAGAATACGAAACTTTCGTGGTAGTTATTTTACGATATATCGCCGAGATATTGTAACTTTTTAAAGTTTTATGCAGAAATGGAAAATACATCATTCCTTTAGATTTGATCAGTTGACTGACTTCAGATATATGAACTAGAAGCAACACCCACAACGAGGCAGCTTGACTGTGATTTAAAGTAAGACGTCACGATATTGTTCAGGAAGTGTTTATCCTTTTATTTTGATAGATATGACAGTAGAATAACAAGCGATTGAACCACTATATGTAAAGATAAAACTTCATCAAGTCTTCCGTTTTTCTCTAGAACTGCTACTTTAAATGAAATGAAAAAGTAAGAGTTCTCCTAAGGGAAATGGCCTGACTTATTACTACTAGTGTCGGTAAATTTTTTTAAACATTTTTTTTGTCCTAAACTTCATTTTCCTTTAAGGTGCTTCTCATATTCCATTTGAATAATAAAGTATCTGCTGCTTGACAATGTCATTTTCTCATGCAAAGAAATGCATTCGACTAAAAAACAGTTATCATTTTTTTTGGCGGGGTGGGGGTGGGGGGTGGGGGTAAATTTGAATTTAGAATTCGAAATATAGAAAGGCTGTGAGTACTTGAAATTTCTTGAGTATGTCGAGGAAGTTAAAAGTTAGTAAAATGCGCTTCCTGTATTTTTCTGTGCCAACATCCAATGTACGTTTTTAAAACCCTTATTATTATTATTATTATTATTATTATTATTATTATTATTATTATTCATTTCAATATAAGCACCTTTTACAATGACTATGATCTAACAATATCTTTATATGAAGCTAAATATGAATGAAACAGCGTCCAATCAACAACTACATATTTAATGTGATGCTTGTGAACATAGGACAATGGCTGAAAACGCTAACTGGTATTTCAAGTTTTCACAAAAGATTAAGTGAAATTTATCTTCTTCACAACGGTGGGAGTACACGTATATCGTATTCCATTGTTTCTCTTTAACACTTCGATTAGGACCTCCATCGACCAGGCATCATTAAGAAATAGGATTAAGGACCCTAGACCCCGATAATGCGTAAATGTAATTGTCTATTAACGTTATTGTTCTGACAGATTAGATTGGATAGTACATTCGCCGTTATGTCTATAATGCCATTAAATTCAAATTTCAGATTACGGGCCATGTATTATTAATTAATTTGATGAAGGCAAATGGATGTGATTGATTTTTCTCACCCGGAAACCAATATCTTTCACTTAATTTGTTCCTAATCAATGACAAGCGAAAAATTATCAATGCCGTTTAATAAATTTTGTCATTGTTTTTTTCTAATCTGATAATTCACCAGGTGAGGAAGAGGGGACTTTTATCTAAGATGGCCAAGTTCACTACTTTGAATGCCTGTCCACTCGGAAGCCACTTTATTGCGAGTCAAGTATTCTCTTCAAATTGGCGAACACTCACGGAAGCACTCGTTATTATTCAGCATTATATAAAGCTAAATTTACCTTTAATTAACCCGTTGTTCTATCTGATTAACCTTTTCCGTCAACTAGCGAGACCACTTGAATCAAGCTGACGTTTTCACAACGACCCGCGCGACGCGAGCTCGGATTAGACGGGGGCACTTGTCGAAATTTAGAAAAAGCATAAAAATTGCACATGCAAAATGTTTGAAATATTCCACTATCTGTATTCGAACAAAATTGTCGTCTTAATGCATGAATATTTTTGTACATTTTTTTACTTTCAATGTCTAATATTTTTTCAGCATCGAAATTTAAAGAAAATTTTTCTGATATGCCCCACCCTGCCATAAGCCAATCCTCTAAGCTTGTCAACGAGGTGTGCTTTTCCTCTGCCCTTTCAAGATGGACAAAGGCGTGAAGTGTTAGGCGCCGGGTGACAAACGTTTAGCCCCTACGCTCAGAAGTTGTTGGTTCTGTAAAGTACCCACTCATCCGACGGTCAACAATAGTTTATGAAAATATTGTTTCCTCAAAGTCATTAAGCAACGCTTCTTAATTGTCTGCGATTTGCTTAGTAAACGTCGTCGAGGTTTAACCCGACTTCTTAAGTCACAAAGTTAAGAAATTTTCAAAACATGAGGTCGTGCTTTGTGGTTTTGTTCTGTGATGGTTTAAGTGAAGCTCAAAATATTTTCGTAGTATGACAGGGGCACGTTAAAAGACAGCGTAATAAATTGACCGCGAAATGCCTGTCAATTGATCTTTGGGATGTGTCATTTTGACGTGACGTGAAAGGATCAATACCGTGTAAAAAATCAAATATTTTGCCAGAATCATTGCCTTTACAGCTGAATGACAGAACATATGTAATAGTATACAGTTTCGCGGCCATAATGAGAAAACAAACACTATCACTCACATAGGAGTTAACCATTGGAGCTAAACACACAACTTTGCAAAAGGTGTACAAACATATATCCGAAGTCGGGTCAAGCCGCGCTGGCGCCAGTGGCAAACATAAACCTAATAAATTAAGCTTTGATAAGTTTGTCTGCCACCGCTCTTAAACCTGTATATCAAGAGAAGTCTATAGAGCTAATCACCCAAGGTAGATAGAGCTATAGGCAGACTGGTAATTTCTCATCACGGTGCGATTAAGACCCGCTTCTCCAAGGTGAAGAAACTACGCTCCTCGTTCGAGCTGCGGTAATAGCGACCTCAGTATTTCCAACCTAAGTAATCACATGGCAAATTCTCGTATATCTTAGTGATTGCAGTGATCACTGAATAACAGCTGTCGATTTGATCTTTTTTGGAGATATTTCTGTTCTAAAGGTGCACTTTGCACAATGAACAAGGAAAAAAATTAAATTAAACAGAGCATCATTTGCTATTTATATTACCAATCTTAACGAGGGGAGGTAAGAATTCACATGCAATTAATTTGATGCCACCGGGCGCAATCGGTTTCCACCCCGTGATACAACACCTAAACACGCTTGTTTTAATTGTTGACACAACGATAATCGGTGATAAACTGATTGTTTCGAATATAGAATAAATTGTTTCACTTTGCTATCGGTAGACACATCGTACATTATGGCTACTGCTCCTAAATTAGCAGGACCCAAGTCTGATGAGTGTGGTATTTTATGAATAAAAATAGCGGTGTTGTTGATAGAAAAAGGGTAATGATTTACAAGTTGGTTAAAGACAATGATAGGAGAGATATCGTGTAATTTGAATTTGAGTGCACACGGTGATAATCGTGGAGAGGGTGTCGCTTTCACACTTGTTAATTCTTTAATTAAGTCACGTGTCATTTTTTTCGTTGAGAAAAGCAATTGCAGAGAATCGTGAACATTATTCTGCAGTCGATGCAAGTTTATATAATATAAGTAAACTAGAGTATTATATGGTCAAAACAAGAGTAAAAAGTCAGATGTCTAAACTCTTGATTTTCTTTCAATTTTCAAATCTATTCAAAGAAAAACTGTTGATTTTCACACAGTTTCTGCACTGCTTATTGAAGTCCTCTGGACAGTGAGTCGTGTTAAATAGTCAATAATAAACCAACAAGTTATTGAACGCAAAATTATCATCTCACTGGATATCATTGTTTAGAGGCGGAGCCATAGCGGGAGTATAGCAAACAATCTGATTAACATAAGTTAGTGTATATTGGGTCTCTAACAACTAAGGCAATTTGCTCCTCCTAGGGATTAGAAAAGAAAGCATATTAGGATTGACGTGGACAGGTCGATTGACAGCCCCAGAAGGGGCGTGGCTTCGGTTTGACATGAACATTTCATGGGCTGCACCAAACTATGAGTTCCGATAGGCGCGCTGAAATAGCATGAATGGCAGGAGAGATGTTAGTATTGTTTTACGGTTGCACACTCATTGTGGTAATTAAGAAGACGTGAAGCGTTTTGATAAGCTGTCACCCCTCTGAAGTGCAGTGTCATTCATCCTCATATCGCACATTGCCACTTGAAGTGGTGAGAACGGTACACGTTTCTGGTTGTTAAAGATAGCCCGGTATAATACACTAGGCAATTAAGCCGGCAACCACGCTACCCAAAATATTCCACGTCAAGTTAAGAATTCGCGAGATAAGAGGACGCAATAGTTACATGAAAAGGCACATGTAGCGCGACACGGTCCAAACCGGACTTCGTAAATAAGAGCCTCTGCACTCAGTGGCGTTCAGTGAAGAAGCGCTGTGCATGCCTCTATGGTAGGGGAACTTTGCAGACTTGACTCACCCACATGTCAACTGATATGCAATGACTCTTTCCCTATCCGGTTCAAATGATAACTCGCCCGATGACAAGCTTCACAGTCAAGTGCCAAAAGAGCCATGACAAACACTTCGAATGAGCGCACGTGATTTATAAATTATAAACTCACTTATTCCATTTCTGTATTACATTTTAGACGGAGAAGCTACTTATACCGGTCGTCGTCATCATCATTAAGGATATCTCACCAGGATGATGTTGCACCCTATCCCCCATGGGGACCCTGCCAGCAGCTACGCGACGGCATTCTACGCACCCCAGCCACTGCCGGCCGGCCTGCACCTACACACGTTCAGCGGCTCCCCACCCATCGGACTAGGGGCTTTTAGGGAACACACCCCAGCACACTCCTCTTCGTTCATGATAGATGACATTCTTGGAACGAAAACGTCCTCTGCGGTGTCCACTGCCAGCAGTGGAAACAGTGCGAACATAAACAATAACACTGGGATCAGCACCAGTGCCACACCACAAAACCCTGCAAGACCGACTCCAGTCAACCCAGCGGCGTTGCAAACATCTCCGCTCACTGTGCACGTGCCGAGTTCCCCAGGGCTTGGCGGGGGCGTATATAAACCCACGGCCCTCTATGAGACAATGAACCCAATAGCCAGCTCCTACCTGGCGGCGCACGCGGCTGCGGGGTATTCTAATGGGCTGCCGTCTGGGTTTGCTAACGGACTAGGGAACCCTTTCTATTCCCTCACCTACCCACGACTCGACTATGCACAAACGCTGTTCGAGAGGCAAGGGCTACTGGCGAAAGGTAGGCTGCAATGTAGGTATCCATTTTAGTGTTCTGTGTCCTGATTAATTTAACTTGAAGTTAGGGGTATTCTTGCATTGTTTTTTTTAATTTATTTTTCTTTTGAAGTTATTACCATCCATATAAGATCAATTGAAGGGTTTCTATAACATGCTGCTATAGGATTTTTATCATAATTGCAAAAAATCAAAAAATTGTTTGTAGCCAGTGTAAGTCAATTTACTTTTCTCGGTGTTCGAACATGTGGCATACAGAGTTTTGTTTAACAGGTATGACTTTTCGGTTAACTAACTTGTTTCAATTTAAATTCATCAAAAATGATTTACAAGCAAGCAAGCAAAATTAAACCATTCAAAAATAATGGTTAGTTTTAGCTTTGCCTATGAAACCAGATTACACTATGTTTTGAGCCACTTATCGCACACACGCCGATATTGAACCAAATATACATGTCTTCCGTTTGACCTTTTCCTCGTTTATAAGCCAGCTGTAGTGCTTTGTTTCAAAAGGTCACAGACACAAGGCGAATTATTGATTTTATATGAGCTTTTTTTTTTTACAAATTAAGGGTTATCTTCTCTAGTTCTTCCCGTCACGACAAACAACAAATATGTCAAATACTGCTCTTTCCTGGTTCGCCTAAGTACAAAGGCTGGAACCCCCTGTTGCTCGAACAGCAAACTTATTTAAAGTTAAAAGACAAGGGCAAAAAATCTTTTGTTAGCATTTATGAACGTGTTAAAAGCAGGCCAACATATTGAAATACATGTATAATGCATGTACATGAATGAAATAGTTATTTATACTCTAATATATCAAAGAAAAATAGGTGCGTATGGGTGTAAATCAAAAATATCACATGAATTCCGAAGTTGGAGTAATATCGCACAGGCAATAAAAGAATAAAATGTCTGGCATCTAGAGCTTCAATGATAAATCAATAAATATCAAATAAAGTACAATTGTTTTATTTAAGTATTCTTTTCGAGTTTTCTTTAAAGGTTTCATTTCATAGGCCAATTTGTGTTATATAAGAAGACTAGTTTCAACTTACCCGAAATAGCCGTACTACTATAGGCAAATATTTATTCGTTTTTTACAGAACAGAACATTTTGGTCTATTACCCTATTTTTCCATCTTTTAGAGAATTTTTTTCATTACTTGATAAAAACAAAACGCGAAACTGATATATGATACAATGACGCATCTCGTGTCTTCGTATGATAAAAGAAAGTTGAACAAAGATTATGGTTACCACTCATTTTTTTATTGTTTTAAATAAAAGGGAAACAAGCCAATCGTTTGGGAGATAAAGCGGAACACACTAAACAATTGTGCTTATTTTCTTCCAACACTTCTAAAAACATCACGCTCTTGGTTTGTAGTGTCTTATCTGTGTCGGCCAGGCCTCCTACGTTTCCTTGTGTCGACAAGTGGAGGTTTCCTCCATAAACATCCAACAACCACGTGTAAGAGCTTGATAGCTAGTAGATTGAGGAATTGCTGGGACAGTCGGAAGAATCGTTCGATGCCTAGTGCCTCGTGATTGAAAACAATGCCTCTGTTGTTAGTGAGAGAAATGACGTAGCCTACTATTTGTCCAAAAACGTCCCCGGTATTGGTCTTAAAATTGCTCGATACTTCTTAGCGCCAAGTGCCCAAAATGTTTGATTTGTTTTATGGGCGCTTCAAGGGCATGCTTTTAAAATATATTTAAAAAGACTGCCAAATTTCCGCATGCTGCTAAAAATGTCTTGCGGTATTGTTTCAACTAATTGGTCGCTCAATATTAAAGCGATACACACCGCCCAGTCAACACAGATAGAAGACATTCTTGGTATTTTGTAAACAAAAAACTACACTCAGCCCAACGATGTATCCATTTAAGAGTGCTTTAATTGGCAGTCGACAGCTAACAATGTAACCAATACAATAACGAAGCCGGAAAACACTGCAATCTGATTGATCGTAAAATAAGCTAAGATAAAATAACCACGGAAATATGCTAAAAGAGATATTGGTCAGGATATGAGAGTAAGGTTGTTCATTTTTCAGACACACTAGTGATTCAGGAAACGCGCGATTTTATGACCGAGTTAAGTAAGCACCACTTAAAAGAAAGAAAATTTTATGTCAGCGACTACATCGACTTAGCGAGTGTGGGATCTTTAGAAAACGTACTTATAAGTGAATGCAGACAGGCAAGAATATAAAAAAGAACACAGAACAAATAAAAAATCCACGCGTTAAGAGAATAGAAATTCACCGAGTAGTGAAATCATAGATATTTTTAGTTTAGCCTTTGTTTGACAGACATACTTGTTTCTGGATACGGGAATATTGGGAGAAATTGGTTATAATGAAAAAAGAGCTAGAATCAATTAAAGAAATAAAAGAAGCTTTTTTAATATCAGAGTTTTACGCATATTATGCCTTGTCGTGCAGGATATCCTTCACAATTCCTTATGAGGCAGAGACGAGGCGGTCTATGGGCGCCAGTCTGCCCCGGTCTCCCCCTAATTGCATTTAACTTGATGCGAAATGATTTAAAAATCAATCACTTCAAATGCCACCTTAAGAATAATGGATTCTTTGTCTCGTTAAAGGATCAAACTTAATCCAAAAATTAATTTTTGATGCACCATATTTTAGTCAAGATAAGATTGTGATTACAGCGGGTGAACCCCGTGGTGAAAGGGAAGACGGAGGGGCAGAGTGCAAAATACTTTGGATAAACATAGCGGAAACCACTGTGCTTTTACAAATTATTTTAATTTCAAAACAGATAGAAAACATAGATATAAATGGTGGTGACTAACCAATAGGCAACTGTTTATTGCTTTTGGTGTACTTTTTTTCGAAATGTTTTAATAGCTTTTTTTCTGCCTTTTGCTTCAGTTCCGCCAAAAGCAGCCCCATTTCTCTGGAATCCATTTATGCAACGCAGTCTTCACAAACGGAAAGGTGGACAAGTACGGTTTTCAAACGACCAAACGGTGGAATTGGAAAAGAAGTTTGAAAGTCAAAAATACCTGTCGCCTCCCGAGAGGAAAAGATTAGCCAAAGTTTTACAACTGACTGAAAGACAGGTAAGAAAAGTAATACAATACAAACAGGTGTATCGTAAACATTAAGTTCAGTTTAAGTGTCACCTTGAAAGCACGATACCATAAAAGCATATAGAATTTCTCCCATTGCAAATCCGCGATATTGACGAATAATCACGTTATAAAATTAAGATACTGTTCTGATGAATTAAGGCACGGTTTTCGCGATCCATTTTTGTGTTGCGGATTTAATAAAGAAGTGAATTCACTATATTCTGTGAGCAGCAAGTTTGGTCGAAATGAAGGTTAGGAAAGCAACCCGACAACACAGGGGGCTCAACGACGACCAGATTATGCGACCAGATTTAATGTCGAACTTATCTTACCTATCCTAAATTTGATCTTCAGTCTCTCTGTTTACTCAGAAAATTGATTGAAATGTAATCGTCAGCGTGATAGAGCCCTACACAGGGAACTTTTGTAGATGGAATTTATTTAGGGGGCGATGCTTGACAGTTCTTCGCGAGAAAAGAACAACATTGAAGAAAATTAACTTCTCTATTGCTTCCGATTAGGCCCACCTCTATTATTTTGATCACGTCTAATAAGTCTCAATTGAAATAAATGTTGACCAATTCGGACGTTATAGCCGTGGAACTTACTTGAAACCCCACGTAGTGGATAAGAAGGGGCATCGCTGACAAGGAGGAGTAATTTATTACTATGCCATTGCTTTTGTTCAATGAATTTTTAATTCTTAGCGACATAAGTGTTTGTTATTTAGATAGTTTAGCAGTTCTAGTGACCATATACTTCTTTTGAAAGAGAAAAGTGTAATAAGTCTACGTTTCTCGGTTGCCGTATGAAGAACTTAATGGTCTGGCAATCACTTGTCGCAATGACTATAGTTAATTTTTTCTTTCGAAGAGATCTGTTATATGTACATCGAAATCCTTTTCAGGTCAAAACCTGGTTTCAAAACAGAAGAGCGAAGTGGCGCCGGCTAAAACAGGTAAAGCCGAATGCTACTCCCCCAATCAAATGTTAAAACAAATAAAACCTATCTTGAACTGAAGTTGTAGAAAAAAATTAACGTCCACACTAAGATACAGTATCTCTGACAAGTGTCAATCAATAAATATAGCAGCAAGTTAAAGAGAAGTAGTTGAAATGCATACAGGCTACATTTTGGTCGTGGATTAAAAAAAAAAGACTTTCGCAGGCGTATAGTGTTTTAAAAAGTCCCCTCCAAGTCAAATACCGTTACCTTCTGTGTATGGTCATACGAGCTTAGTAAAAGAATCCGGTGTTGTTTGGAAAACAGTGATAGATGTAATAGTTGAAACGGATATTAACATATTCTTCTCCAATAAAGAACATCTAAAATATTTTGATTTCAAAATGGAATAGATATTTCATTTAAATCTCTTCTGCAGGACTCCAGTGACAAGTCAGACGACACGCAACACGATTCAGGAATAATCGCAGACTCTCACACGTCATCGAGCGATCATCCGGGAAGCGACATCTCAGATTCAGAAAACGAAGATGACGAATCGACCGAAGAGTGCGGCGAAGTCAAAGTTGATATTTGTTACGAGAACCCATCGAAAACTTAAACTCTAGGGAACGGAGCGCCGTTCTATCGGTGACCTCCTGGGGCTCAATTCAGATCTGAACTTCCGTTAATAATCATCTGCACTTTGTCACGTGTGGACGGCCTGTACCGTTGTAAACATTGCGCTTGGCATATCACACCAGGCGAACAAGCAAACATTTATATATGGGAGCATTAAAAACAGCTATGAGAAAAAACACAGTATTTTATATTTAGCAAATGCCAAAATTATTTTGTGCGGTATGGTTAAGCGAAAAGTGATGAAGGCCACAAGAGCCTTCCTGAGTGTACAGCCCGTGCGCATCAACGTGCATTCACTGACTTGACCAAAACAAATTGTTGACTATGCAACACATGCAGGCAAATATTCTATTTATTGGCAATACTTTGCATAATGTTTTTTTAATACATACTGCATATATCCATATACGTTTATTACAAACGCTGACGACATACTGACTTGCTTAACATATACCCGTCTATCATTTAAAATCACATACTAGTACATGTACGTAGGAATACCGTAACGTAATCATGTATAACGAGCGTCAAAAACGGGCGGACCACCGTATGCGCGCGCGTTCTTTGTACTTATAAACAACAAAAGTTGACTTTATATGTACTTGTATATATTTATATATTTATGTAATAAAGTAAAAATATATATTCAGTACAATCTTGTGATAATTGCATTTACATGGGGTATGAGTGGGGAGAAAGTTTTATCCCTTGAAACATATTTCAAAGATAATCATTTAATTGATGAATATGAATAAGGAACAATAACGCTTTGAGTCGCAAAGAAATTATAAATTAAAAGTTTTATCAGATATTTTTGATAAAAATATTTTGAAAGTGTTTTGTCATACTTCCTCTTTGATACAACAAGAGCTGTTAAATTGAAGCAATTTGAAGTGGTACCTAATATTACAAATATCTTTTAGTAATAACGGTTCTTGACTTTTTTCTTTATCGGATATGACTTTGAAATTAAACTGCTACATCATCGTAAATATGCCAGACAAACACTGTTGTTCCTAACACTATAGTTCAACAAGGCACTTTATTGAATAATTTAGATATATTTTAGTGCGTATAGTCTTTGACTCAACAAGTTGCAACTTGTATTCAAACGTGGGAGATATCGACTAAAACCGCGATAAATGTGACGCCAGTGCTACCGTTCGCACATAGCACACACACAAAAAAAGCATATAAACTCGATTAAGCGAGGATCATTCAGTTTTATTGTTTTTGATCCGAGTTTATTACTTTGATAAATTTTTCGTAATTTATGCTTTATTTCTTTAGGCTTCTATTTATATCACCACCCCTGTTATATGACTGTTGTAAATTGTTTGTTGAAAGTACTGATAATTATGATAATTAATTCGCATGTTATCCAATAGGCCTACTAGTAAAATGAGCAAGGATTCGGGGTTTTTAGAGAGAAAAAAAGCAAGTGGTTGTTATAGTCTGTTTTATATATAACATGATCTTTTTTTATCAAGTTTCATTTACATTTTGTCTTTGCTGTAAAGGAAATAGAAAATATTTATAAACAGAAATCTTGCTCTCAATTATTGGTAATGCACATTTGATAATGCAAAAAAAAAAAAAAAAAAAAAAAAAAAAAAAAAAACGATGATTAACGACTTCACTTTAACCACTCGTCCTTAATCTAGGGCCTGGCGTCGTTTGAGAAAGAATTTGTCATTTTGTAACTTAGACCTACAAAATATTTATTTTTTCAGTGGGCCCATTAAAATATTTAGGAATTCAATAAATGGCACTGACCACTTTTAACCGTGGGTTTTACCTGTTTTTTTTTTAACAAAAAACATTGCCGCGAATTAATATGTGTAAAAATAAAACGAGATCCATGTTTAAGAGCAGTCATTTAACTTTGGAATATCATATTAAAAACCTGAAACTTCATAAATAAAAAAAGGTTTGAAATTTGAGGTCATGGTCGCAGTTTCTTAAATATTCATATCAAGCGTGTATGTATGTAAAATCATCAATCAAATGCCACGATATACATGTATAGTGTATAGAGTACTTTAATTGAATACTACAGAGTTCCGTTACAATATTTCAAAAAAAAAAAAAAAAATCTACACAGATATTTTCTGCTTACATTCTGTGGTTTACGGATTGGAGGGGAAATAAGAAGGTCAAATTTGCATTCAGTAATTCTAGGAAAATGCAGTTTTTAAGCCCTTTTCAGTTGCATGGGAGATTATTAATAATCATATTTTTTTTTGGGGGGGGGGGCATGGGGATTTTATTTCTGATATAAACAATTTAACAATTCAAACACGTAACAGGGAGTTTACTCTAGCTTCATATGTATCTATTTGGAGAGAGATCGCAACAAATTATCCCATTACTTCATAAGAGAATGTGGAAACGCGTTGGAAGACGTACATGTTTCGAAATAATGAATAAGTTTAAAGCGTCGAAAGTGTCATCAAAATCCGTTTTTGGGTATTTCGCACCAATAATCCGTGCCCTATGCCTTTAAAACACGATTACTTACGCGCTGTTGACAAGAATCAAATAACTTGAAATTTTTGACCACCAGTCGCAGTCTATCTGGTGCCAAATTTCAGCAAAATTAATTTTGTGATTTTTTTCCCAGTATCACTCCCATGCCGTATTAAGGATATAGTAGGTCTTATTTTGATTATTAGCCGTTTTATAGGACCCCTGGGTCTCAACTATGGTGCCAGGTATTCCGCAATGCAGAGATAAGGGCACTGTATATCTTTTCAATTAGTTGAAATTGTTGACAGTTGTAATGAACCACTAGTTCGGGCGAGATTGTCACTATGGCTGCAAGTGAAGGTGGAACCTAAAACGAGAGGCCTCTTCGGGGGCGATGAGACAAACTTTATTGAGGCACTTCCGACAAATTTTATTATCTAGGGCTGAGAATTGTGCTCAGTGTATTTTTTTAGGAAAATATACTTGAAATTTTTTAAAAAAGATATAAGGCGTATCAAGTTGGGCAAGTGCGTTCCTGAAAATAGGGGAAATCATTTTGAAGAATAATGATAAAAAATTAGTATGTGTTTTGCAGTAATAGTTAGTGTGTTTCATGCGTACAAACGCAAGCATTCCAGCTGAACTTGGTCTGCTCTTGAACAATATCTGACAATGCTACCTTCACGAGTTTTTAAACACGAAATGGGCCTTAGACTATATATATGAAGAACGCGTTCACAGGTAAAATATTGCGTTGTTACGAATAGGAAAATTCAAATCTGGTCTTTCGTAACTCTTACACAAGAAATCCTCCCCTAATATCGGCCCCGGGATGAATCTCATTCAAATACTACTTCAAGCTAAACCATCAAATTGCGATTAACAATAATCCCCACAATTCTGAGCATTATCTGAACATTGCTTCTTCAATGCGACCTTATTGAGCAAGTAAACAAGGATTATCATAAATTAAGTTTCGCCCCCTACACCTCTGACTAATGATCAACTAGTATCGGCTCATGTCTTTTGCGATTTGAATAGACGAATTGGCTAGCCATCAGGCATAAGGCAAAACGCCCTATCAGTGCACAATTGCGATAGAGACGAATTACTTCTTTTATGCTTCATGCTTCAGAATAAATATTTAGGGCCGTATACTCCGTGGGGTGGGGTGGGGGTAAGGTGTCACCCTGGACATTTCTGAAAAAAATATTTCAAGAGCTGTGTTAGTTTTTTTTCTTTTTCCTTGACCACCAGCAGTCATCTTTCCACCTGTCAGTAGAAGGTCTATTACAATGGACACGCATTGCAGAGTTATCTGAACGCAGCAAAACTAGGAGTAGATTGGCATTTATCCGTATAGGTTTTGGTAAAGGTTGACTGTGATCTGGCCGAATGCATTTTAGCTCCTTGTCGTCATTGTAAAAGCTGACAGTAGAGAGCTAGAAATAATAAAGCAACTAGAAAAGCACTCAGAGAGCCCAGACCTCCGCCAAGGCAGCAAAGTCTCCATCCAATGCCGTTTCACCCATAAATTTTCGACATTTTTGATTATTGATTGATTATTGATCCAGATCACCACTAAAACTAATCATCTGTTCCTTGGCCCACTTCTGACAGTTCCTGAAAATTTCATCAAAATCGGTTCATAACTTTTGAGTTATATTGATGAGAGACAGACAAACAAACAAACATGGGTGAAAACATCCCTACATGTAACCTCCTTGGCGGAGGTAAAAAGAGAATAAAGGTTTGCGTGTTTGTCCAGTTACTAATCCTGGATTCGCCCTTGCAATACTAAGAAAAATACTTGTATTCCCTCAATTCATACCTCAAAAGTAATATAGGCCCTAATCCCTTAAATAAAAGTATACCCGATGTTCATATTTTTCTGAAATGTAGGCCTACAGGAAGGCCTGGCGGTCTAAACGTCATGTGTCTTTTTTTATTCAGCATTTGCATGAATATTCAGTCATTGACATTTTTATAAATAGCCTACCATGACATGCAAGACACTTCAGATTAAAAAAAAAAAAAAAAAAAGCATTTAGTTATTTTTTTTTCACGCATTTTAAGATGGTTTGATTTTTGATTAAATGAAAAATTACTTAAATCTTTATATTGGTCGTCCAAAGACAATTTTTGTTCAAACTAAGTTTTTTCCTGGGAAATTCCACACATGCAGAATTATCACAGCTAGGCAGATTTTCAGATAAAATTTACTCTTTGTAGAGGCATCTTTTATCGTACATTCCATTGCTTTTTGATGTTTTTGATAAATGCACAATCTTCAGCCCATGAGACCGCGTGATTTATTTATTTATTTATATATGCACATGTCATGTAAATAAATTGATAATACTTATAAATATTAATTGTTCTACCGGGTATTTAGTTGATCTATGTTTGTATACTCCAGTCACGATAATTCTACAGATTCTGTAGCGAGCATTGCAGTAGTTGTGCTAAGCACATCGTTCATTCAGAAAAAGACCGGAAATTACTCCACATGAGGAAGTCACGACTCACCGTCAAAATGTGGGTCTCTTATGATTGTGCTTCGGTGTTGTGATTCAACAGACTCGATCACACATATGATGTGTACTTAACAATAACCGGGTTGTATTCATGCAGAAGCCTGCGCGAGTGACAGAATATATCCAGGTGAGAAACTTCACGAAGAGTACATGTACACTTACAAATAATTCGGGTGTTACATATGGTTAATAACATTAATAATTAGTAACTTTGTCTTTGGTTTGAACTTGTAAGCACCGATACCGTGACACAGATGACTCGGATGTTTTGCATGGGGTCACACCATGTTAAGATTTGACCTGTTGCGCAAATGGGTACACCTTATCTGACTGTAAGTTTGCACCGAGGACCAGGTCACATTGATCGAGCCACTTTCTGAGAGTGTTAACATAAATGAATTATTATTGAGACATGTTAATACTGTTGTGTATTTCAAAAGGACATTGCGTTAATGAAGTTTTTACATGCACATGTGCTTATCAGTGGGTCGCATTGTTACATTTTTGTCTACATTTAATAATTACATGATTGTTTTGAAAAAAAAATATTTATAAAGATTCTGTCTCTTTTGTCATTGTGGAATGTGCATGGGTTAAAGACATATGAGACCAGCTCCATATGACTAGATGAGATTAACAGTAACATTATTCTTTACAACATAATTTTTTCCATTTGAGACATTGGGGAGGTGCCAGCTGGGGAATTGACCATATCATTCCATCTAGTGGTGCATTTCATTTGTGGCAGCCTAACTATTGTTATATTGCATCTCAGTAGAACAAGTGGAACATTCAGTATATTATGATAAGCTCACTTTAAGAAGCCAGTCTGATGCCTCTGTTGCCCCACCCAAACCTTACGTTATTGATTCCATTAGTTTACTGTGGCCAGCTGATTGGGATGGTCAGTTATATATAAATCTTATAATCACATGATACACTGAGGTTATGGTACGGGTACAGTACAGTGTGTATGTACTTATATAATAAATTGTCATAAGTAGAATGAGAATACACCTTATAGTTCTTCTATGATCCCTCCCACATTTGACTAGAGTAAGCTGTGAAATATCTGGTCTTGTGTATCAGCTCTTGATGTCTTAGGAGGTTTTCAGAATGAGGTAGGTCGACTAAACACGTACGTCTCCTCTTGTTGCCAACGTACTTGTATATTCACCAGTTTTTCTGTATTTTACAAATTCTACTCAACACCAGGAGAAGGCATTTTAGTCTGTTCGTCTGTTAAATTTGCATTCAGCCTATGCCTATATGGAGGTAGATCACACTAGCTACTGTACAGTAGGTCGTCCCAACACATTCCGAATGACCCCTTAGCCTATAATAATAATAGCTATCTCATAGACACCTGTGACAGTGATGCGACAGAAACTGCTTCATGCTGCAACACACAAAAAATGTACACGGTGTGCCCTTCACCCTACAACATTCCCCAAACCCTTAATAAGAAGAGAAAGGGAAACAAAATATATTAATACTCATTTCTAAATTTACATAATGTGATTTAATGACACTGACAACACCTGGTGACAACACTTATGGGACAGTAATTTGAGCTGGGAAGTATAATTTAGAGACCCTCATCCGTGAAACTGCCCACGGACAGGCCTGCATGGTGTGTGGTTATTTAAATACAGTCATTTGGTGTCTGGATAATATTTAATATATACTCAACAATAGTTGCTCAGTAATTGGCCAAAATGGAGTTTGAATAGATGAATTAAGCTTAAACATGTACATGATTGTGCCCGTATGCAAGTCTTAATGACAAGATGTTCATTCTGCAAAATTAATGCATATCGTGATATTTATGGCTACCAGTATATGTTGTCCTGGTAGTCGTTAAATATTGCTGTTAAATACTTGATGTGATTTCATTTGCTTGACAACATCTTGTTGATAAGAACTGAATGTGGGCATCCATACCTACATGTAAATGGGCTTAATGTAAGTGTATGTTTACATACATATTTTATAATATATTTTTCTTTGAATTATTAGTCTTACCAATGGTTTATATGTCTTATACTTATAGAATTTCCTTCCCGAAAAAACTATTTATTATTATTTTTTGAAAAATATTTTTTAGGGATTGAGAAAATACTCAAAATGGCCACAAGTGTAAGTGAAAATGGCATCAACGAAACTGGAGAAAAAGTTGGGACCAACAAATCTTCAAAAATGGTGTATGTTGTGTTCATCTCCTTGATAATTGACTTGCTTGCATTTACGATGATTCTTCCACTGCTACCCTCTCTACTGGATTACTATGGACACCATGATGAGGTAAGTTTAATGGCCTAGCAGTGAACTGCTTTTCATTTAAGAATTATAATCATTAAATTTTAAATAATTGGGTTTGTTTTGACTTAATGCTAGGATAAGCATATTTGTTATATCTCTTTACTCTTCTAAAGATTAAAAGATGGGTCATTTGAAAGAATGAAGCTAGTTGATAAATCTTGATATTTAATTATTTCCCAGTCAATTTTTACAACACATTTGTCTGCAGTAGTGCATCTTTTGCTTTTCAATTATGCTATGCTATGAAGTTCTGATGTATTTCCTGACTATAGTTTTATATATGGTATTATAGGGAGGCCTATACCATGTGTTACTGCAATATGTTCATAGCTTGAGGTCACTGATAGGAGCTCCTGACACGCCAAGGTGGAACTCTGTGCTCTTTGGAGGTAATGACTATAAATCCACTTATAAATGATGCTTTTTTATGGTCTGTTTATTTTTGTTACTGTTTTTGTTATGATCATTGATTTATTTTTCTTTAATATATTCTGAAATGAACATCACCTTTGATGTATTTAAATCACAATGCACCATCTGATCATTTGTAGCTTTTTCAGTTCATTGCTTTTATACTCTTCCCCTCCTCTCCCAACATGCTGAGAAATGTCCTTATGCAAATGTAAGCTTTTTTTCTCCAGGATCAGTAAATTTGAACCCTAATATGTTAAACTTCTAATGTTTGAATGGTTCCCTGTTTTGTTTTCCTACCCAGGTTTGATTGGTTCCCTGTTTTCCCTGCTGCAGTTTTTAGCTTCTCCCATGATTGGCGCAGCATCAGATTACTATGGCAGAAAACCATTGATGTTACTGAATTTGGTAGGGTTTGTTATAAATGTGTAAGAAGTCTAAAATTTTACTAATTCATTGATAGTGAAAACTAGATTTCTGTAATCTTTTCTTGTGAGTTTTGTGTTCCTGATATGTATAGAGAAAGAAACCATAACTTTTGTTTGAAGGCATTTTTATTTTCTCTTTCTCAGATTGGTATTGCTGTTTCCTATGCCATATGGGCAGTATCTACTAATTTCACAATATTTGTGCTGGCACGGATAGTGGGAGGCATCAGCAAGGGTAACATCAGCCTGAGCACAGCTATTGTGACAGACATCTCCACACCACAGACCAGAGGCAAGGGAATGGTGAGGAGGGAATTCATTGTATCATTTCTTTATTACAATGAATATTAAGGAGTGTCTGGATCAAGGGAACTCTTTGCGCTTAAATATATTTTAAGAAGTCTTTGACAAAATCTCATCTATTAGGTGTTTAATAGGCTGTTGTTCAAGATCCTTAGTATTGACAACCCTGTTGTGTATTTATTGGTATGCTAGAATTATGTTTTATATCATGATATAGTGTTATGAGTATTTTTGTGTTTTTTCAAGTCTGAATAAACTATAAGCATGTATTTGTTGATAGGCAAATTGAGGCAGCACTGTTTTCAAGTGTTGAATGAAAAAAGGTTACTTTTGTTTAAAAAATAATATAATTAAATAATATAATATAATTTAAGAAATTATATGAATTACACACATTTCAATACAACACAAATGAAATAATTGAGTCAAATGTTATTGTATCTATACACTTTTTACACCCAGGCCCTCATAGGGATTGCCTTTTCTGTGGGATTCCTGATTGGTCCATTGATTGGTGCATATTTTGCTAAACAAGTGCGAGAACATGAGGGGATGTTTTTTGTTGCTCCTGCTTTGTTTGCTCTCACTTTGGCAGTGATAAATGTGGTGTTTGTTTATGCCTGCTTCAAAGAAACTCTACCACAGGAGAAAAGGGTAAGTAGAATTATTGTATGTAATTATTGAATATTTACAAGTACTTTATGTTCAGCCGCATTCAGAATCAGATTCAGATTCTTTACTGATACACGCCTTCACACAAAAGGTAAATTACTTGAGATCTACCAGTAACCATATCAATACGACAATAAATAAACATTTAATTAATCATAATTACATAAAAAGTTAAACATGAGTAGATAGGTAGAGTATTTCATGACAGTTTGTCAGGATTGATCTACAAGCTGAGTCTCTGCTCACAGTGCAGGGAGATTGCTAGAAGTATGTGTTGATTCAGGCATGTGCTGAAAGACAAATTCTCTTCTCCATTTTTGCATGTCTGTACAAATATGAGCAGGGGTACATTTCTGTTGTTCCAGGCTCATTCTGTTGGCAGCAAGCTCCAGGAAGCATATGATCTTATCCAGCCAGTGTCACTTTTTAAATTTTCTGCAGTACACCATGCTAAAAAGTCAGGTAACTATGCCCAGGTTTAAATTGGTTTCATTTTAAAGGCACATAATGAGTTTGAGATCTTTATACAGCAAAAAATTTATTTTCATGGAAATGTCACTTTTTTTTTCATCACCAAGGCAAACCATTGTGAATTGTTATCTGTTAACCCACTTTTTGAGTTTGTGTCTATTTTTTTAGTCACTCCCATAATGGAGATAGAGACTGGTGAATTTCACTTGTTAATAGATCATGACTTTCATTTGTTTTTCAATAGAAAATACCATGGTGATAAAAGAAAAATTGTTGAAAATTTCAGAGAAATTACATTTTTGCCATATAAATATAGAAAATATACAATATTGCATTATATGCCTTTAATGTCTTAAGCACATAATTCACCAGGGATTGTGATGTCTGAGTTGTCTCTGTAGAATCCAGCTCACCACAAAAAAAAAAAAAAAAAAATAAATAATAATAAAATAAATAAAATAAAATAAATAAATAAAAAGGATACAGTGAATTGATTGTTGGTTTAGTGAACCAATAGGGGTTACAGTCTGAATGAACAGTTAATAAGGCTTGATAGGTGTCTTCTCAGGGAAATGTGATCAGTATTTCTCATTTGTTTTGTGGCAGTTGAAGACATATTTTATGGGAGAACACTTAAGTATTAGAAACAAATATTTATTTTATGACTAAATATATGTGGCCTTATTTAAATATTTTTAAAGCAAATTTTCCTGAGGATTTATTTGGTATTTTAAAAGGGACCTTTCTTTGTGGTGATACCAGTATTTCCAAAGGAATTCTTCAGCATCTTTACACTTCTATAAAAAAGTGGTATTTTTCAGTTTTGCAGTGGGTCTTTTTCCTCTTCAGATCTGGATCAAATGCAAAGGATTGGGCTTGTTTATTTTTCATATCTCTTCCTGTACTCGGGTCTGGAGTTTACCCTCACATTTCTAACTCACAATCGATTCCAATATGATAGGTTAGTGTTTTGCTTTTCATTTGGAACAACTGAACTCTTGAAGAAATCTACATTTAATTTTTTTAGTGGTTTTGTAATTGACATTCTGTAGCTGATAATTGGTATTGCTGATTGGGTTTTAAAATTTAAGGGTTTGAATTTTTGTCAAATTTATTATATCTGTGTAATAAGTCTTGATATTTGTGAGGAATTTAATATTTTATGAAACACACTGTTTGCTGTACTATTATGTATACTATCGTGAAGGTACATATTGAAAAAAATGATAAATTATTTAAAATCTACCTGTAACATTCTTGTTCATATTTTCAGTATGAAACAAGGGAAGATGTTTTTCTTTATAGGAATTATTATGTCCATAGTGCAAGGTGGGTCCTATGAATTACACCCCATTCTCATAGATTAGATCGACCTACATTGGATCGACCTAACTCCCTGGGGGTTCACGCTAAATAGCTGTCAGCCGGGCGGACACGAAAGTCAATTACCCCTTAAAGCTTGTAGTAGGCGGGGACGGACACTTAAGGGGGATTATCTGACAGTAATCTAGTGAGACTCCCCGCGGTGATAGATCGATCTAAAAGTTGTGAGAACAGAGCCTTAGAGTTGGCTGTTTGACAAATAATCCATCACACCAAATATTTCAACTACAGTCTTTACTCAAATGTTTTAGTAAAACTAAAATTGTACATTTTCTGTAAGCTGAATTATTCTGTTAGATGGGAGTTTAGCAAAGTTGATATAAATTAGGCACAAATCAGAATTGCATTTTCCAGGAGGTTATGTAAGAAGGATAAAGCCAGGCAAAGAAAAGAAAGTTGCTCTTATGGTAAGATTATCTCTTCACTGAGTGGTCTGTTAGTTGTATATGTACTGTATATTCTTATAGTAAGTTTATCTCTTCACTGAGTGGTCTGTTAGTTGTATATGTACTGTATATTTTGGCATATGTGCAATGTACTTTTAAAGGAACATTGCAGAAAAATGTTACAGTTGTGACCAAATGTGCACACAAATGTGGCTTAAGATTATGTATCTGTAATGGAGAATATGCCTACCCAGTAAATTTTGATGTTATAACATAGTATATTGAATAATTTAAACCACCATAATGCATACATATATATTTTCCATTAGGGCATTGGCCTAGTCATTCCATCATTCCTTGTGATTGGTCTAGCCTCCACTACCACTGTGATGTACTGTGGACTGGCACTTTTCTCCTTTGGTAAGTTTCCGTGGAACATATCTTTTGGTCATGGGTAACCAGAATTGGTGTGCCAGTGTCAATTTTGAAACAGATATGCTAGATTTTATACCTTACAACATCCCAGTGGTTAATTAGTCACCCAGAACTGAAATGTACTTCAATGTATTATGTGCTGTTTTTCTAGGTGTCTATGGTATCAATATCTGATGTGCAAGTATAAGATCTAATGAAAGTTTTCCACTTCAGAGAATTATTTTTCTCCTGTACTTTGTTGTTTGTCATTCTCTTATTACTAATTGCTGTTTAATTATAGCTCACTGTATTAAATCATGCTATATAAATTGCAGCCTCTGCCACAGTTGTGCCTTGCTTGACCACTCTGATGTCTTCCTATGGTCAAGATGACCAGAAGGGGACTGTGATGGGGATATTTAGATCTCTAGGGGCGCTGGCCAGAGCACTGGGACCAATGGCTGCATCTATTGGTAAGGTCTTATATTGGGTAAATTAAAAACTGGGTAATTCACCTTTGCTGTTATTTGTTTTATGTTCATTTTAATTCAGGGTCTTTTTTAAAACTTTTTTTGTAAAGTAGAAACACAAAGTTGAGCACATTCAGTAATTTAAACAACATGTTGTTAATTTTGCTACTGTTCATTTTTAATTAATAAATTTTAATTAGGGAAAATCTTGCACATCTTCAGTCTTGATTTAATTTAGGGAATAAAAAAAGCTCATCTGATAGCACTACAGCCCTGTCCAAGTTTATGTTTTTCTTTCTATTTGATATAGTTTACTGGAGTTTAGGGTCCACAGCCTGCTACTCTATAGGTGGTGTGTTACTGGTGGCTCCTCTGCTTATACTGAGGAAACTTGACTTAAAAAAGAACACAGAATAAGTCTGTTCCATTGGTTTTGTATGTTCAACTAAAAGCCAGTTGTTGGTGATGTAAAAGGTGCCTTTTCTTCCTACACCCCAGAATTTATATTCACATTTTTTGCTTTGGAAAAAATACTCTTAAAAGAAATATATTAAGGGTGTTTTTTCTTCTTTTGTGAGAGAAGATTTCACAAGAAGACATTTAACTTATATATCTTTATTAACATTTGAAATTATTTATTTAATATCCAAGGCAAAAATATTTTGTAACCAGTTGATTATGTAGAATTTGATATAGTTATTTGTTGATCTTATAATAAAAATACAAGGCTGTCTCAACTTAATGGCAATTGTATGTAAATTATACACATAACTGTTTTGTCATTTATATTAAAATATATTATTATCAAACATATCATTATTAAATAAAAGATTTTAATGAATGCTGCAAGAATCTACAAGATGTTGATGTAACTTCAGGGCCAGTGTGGCAATATGGGGACAAAATATCTAGTACAGGTGATCGTGCTTTATATAATCTGCATTCCATATGCAAATATAAATATACATGTAAATGCTATTATAAAGAATAAAATTTTATATTCACAATATGAAAAATGTCTTAGAATAATAGTATTATGAAAGGAAGTTTAAATTGGCGCAGGTCCGAATACATCAAAGCGGTTCAGTTTTCCTTGAAGTCCTGTTTTGTTCCATGTGATAAATGTGAAAAATATTGAAAAACTAAACCCAATGACTGAAGTAACCAGAGGTGTTGCTCATTTCAAACACTTGGATGGCATGGGTTCTATGATTCGACAATAGTTTGGAAGTCCTCAGAGTCAAAGGTCAGATACATAGTATATGTCAAAGTGAATCTTGAAAAAAGGACCAGAACCACTCAAAATACAGAATTCCTTTAATTTCACAGAAATGAAATTTGAATATTTTTCTACATTCTGTTGAGAATCGCATACACAAGACCACTGTTCGAACCTATTTAATTGACCAAGGGTAAAAATGATTGTCAAGGTCAAATTTGCTGGTGGGAGATACATGTAGAACAGTGATATATCAGGATCTCCACATTTAAAACTAATTAAAATGTATCCGTTGGTCAGATCTTTTTATAATGCATATGGTTTAAAGTTATGAGATTAAGGGACAATGATTTGTTAATCATCAAGACATTTTACTGGCTAATTAAAATGTTATGTTTTGTCATGAAAGAAGTATTGAACAGTGGCGGATTTAGGGCATGTCGGGGATCCGCCCGCCCCCCTTTCGACGTTTGAAAAAAAAATCACACCAACGGTACCCTCTTAAAATTACAATTTTGACTAGCTGAATCATAGTTCTAACACGTAAAAAATGGCACCGTTCGACCTCTAAAATACCAAAAATTTTCGGGACCTGAACCCCACCTGAAGGGGGGGGGGGGTGTCGGCTTCGCATCTGCGCCCCCTTCAAATAATCCCGTCAAATACTCCTGGATCCGCCTCTGTTGACTAAAGAAGAACTGGAGTCGGGTCCTCTGAAGGTAAAAAGAATCATTCGCAATGGCTAAGAGACTGTTGACAACCACCAGCACAGCACCAACAACACTGTCACACAATCTGCACTAACACAATTTTACCAAAGCTTTTTGCAAAGTTCATCTCGTTTTAAACGAGGAAACCATTAATTAATGACGGAATACAGTGTGCGTGTGCGTTATATCGGTCCCTCAATTTATATAGAATTTATGGAAATTTTTAACAGTTGTCCATTTAATATCAACGAGCAATACTTCTTAAATCCTTGATGAGATTACAATATATATGTAATAATCATCTGGACCCAGTTTCATCAACACTGGTCCCTTCATTGGATAAAATTGTTGTCCTCTGGACAGTTATCCTGTGGGTAAAAGGGCTATAACATTACGTAATTTTGAATAATTCAACATTATCTAATGCTATATAATAATTAACACTATTCTTTTTACTAGAGAGGGACCTTTCAATAAAAGCGGCCGTTCCCGGCCAAATTTCGAACACCATATTTGTGTTTGTCATTTACTTATACCTTCGCTTGGGTTAATGAGGAGACATAAATAATGCTTGTTATTCTGTTGTGAAACGTGATCTTTTTGGCAAGAATGTGAAAATCCAAGGGTACAAATCCAAGGTGTTGTTCTACCTACATGTATAAGCATCGGCGTGATTTAAATGTAAAGTTATGACCAAAACCATTATAAAACCACAGAAGGGTTTCACCAAGACGAAGGTGACATAAGATTTCACAACCGCCATCTTAAGTTTCACTGACAGTGACGCATCATTTCAGACCACACCTGCAGTAGAGGAAGATATATTTTGGTAACAAATAGAAGCTAATACATTCACAAGGTAAACTTTGATATCTAAGAATCCAGTGTTGCTACATGTAATGAAATAATGGCCTTTCCAATCAAAATTTGTAATATAAAGAACAGTTCAAAAGAAAGTTAATTTCTACATAATGTGGCATAATTAGATTCAAAATTTGTACTTTTTATTTCGGACATTTAAACGGCAGTCGTACAAGCGCCGATATTCGAGACCATGCAATGTCTCATCATAGGGAGGTGTTGCAAAGGAAGTAAAACTACTATGTATAAAATACGAATTGAGAACTACTTCAGCACGCTGCTCTCACCATGAGCTCGTTTTTCATCACCTTTGCAGTTTCCGAAAATTTTGATAAATTCGTCAAAAATATCATGTACGAATTGAGTTCATATTCAATTAGCTACTACTACTATCTCCTATTACGCCGTTGGGCGTCTAGGGCGTCAACAAAGGTCCTCCACTCCTCTCTGTCTCTCGCTAGGTGTTGAATTGTTCCCCAACTTTCACCCAGTTGTTTCAATTCTGCTTCAACTGTCCTCCTCCATGTGGTCTTGGGTCTGCCCCTTTTTCTTTTTCTTTTTTCTATTCAATTAGCATACGTTTGAAAACTTTTTACTTTTTTAGTTTTACGTTTTTTTTTTTTTAATGAAGACATATATTTGTTCGCTTGAATGACTTATGAAGGCTGGTTTCATGTGCAGGGAAGATATACTGGGCGTCTTTTGTCATCCTTGCGATATCTGCTATATTTGTATGTTTCTTTTTGCTTGGCATTTTATTAAGTATGCGAAAAAACCTAATAAGTACGTACTTGGCTTTGATATATATATATATATATATATATATATATATATATATATATATATATATATATATATATATATATATATATATATTTTTTTTTTTTTGTGCCCTGACTCATTTGTGAAAACTCCCTGATAATGCAAGAAGACGGGAATATTGCACAAACGAAATATTGCAGTTGCGTTAGTCAGACAGCAAAGCAAGTCATCAGTCTTTTGTTTTTACTCAAACACTCAAAACAGGATGGCTAGAAGATGAATTAAAATTTTCATATCGATGCCACTTGTTTTTAAAATAGGCTTTGGGCAAAACGATGATGACTGACTGTCAAATTTAGCCTGGCTTATAACAAACACATCTTTATGAATGCTACCAAAAGATGGAATGTAGTTTTAAAAAGATGACACAATTTGATTCATTACTTATACATTTTTGAGCGAAAAGATTGTCACACCTATAATTCCATGTGCTTTTGTTTACAAATGATCACATCAAAGCTGTAAACCGATTCAAGCTAGTGAGAACGGAACATAACAGTCGTGTACCCCTTGTAGAAAGAAGCCATCCCGCCCCCAGTAGTCAGGCGGCTGAGTCTAACAATTGTGCAAAAGTTGATTGTACATTGTGATTTTTTTTGTTAGCCATGGTCTTAAACTATTATTAACCGCTTGTTTGACAGTCAACGAAATGTTAGTACTCCAAGTAGTCAAGCTGCCACTCCCATGGCTCCCATTGTTGAACAAGGCTATGCTATTTTCTGTAATTATTTGAAAAAGAATTGTACCATGGCCCATAGTATAAGACTAATGCGGCGCGGACCTGGTCAATTTCGCACCTATGGGTCTAAGTGAATGACGAACAAGACATGATTATGTGAATTTCGAGTTTTATAACATAGCCATTTGAAGCTCAAAAATCCACAGTAAGAGACGAACGCGACATGGGTCGTGTCAATCTCGCATCTATGAAGTTCAGTAAGTGGCGAAACAGACACAGCCATGTCATTTTCGGCTCTCAAAGCTCTGTAATAAAAGACGAATGCGGCATAGGCCTTGTCGTTTTCGCATGTAAAGGGGCGTCTAAAAGACGCACGCATAGGCTCCTTTAGGCCATGGTAGAATTGTATTCTTTTATGTTAGAAAAGTCAACTTAACTTGGCTTTACTAAATTTTAACAAATCGGTAAACCGTTCTGAATTGTGTCTTTTAAACATCATTTTCCGTATTTAACATGACTTAAGGTTAAGAAAAGCCAAAATACCGGTGAAGATAGCCATATCTCATACCAATCATTCAAATATTAATAATTCCACCGAACGTCATCAGAATGCGGTCTTTAATAGTCATCTGTCTATTGACATTTGTGTCTTTGGCCTACTACCTCACTTGTGCGCGACGCGGCTTGCCTCCAACAAGGGTTTCAGGCATGTTTTGTATAGGGTATTGTCCCATTCTTCGAGTGGGGCTTGATTTGTTCCAGATCGTTAGGGGGTTGATTCTTTTCTGCATCGCGCACTCCAAATCACCTTTCAGGTGCTCAATAGGGTTAGTATCAGGGCCCTTGTTCCATTCTCAAAGCATTGCGTGTTTGAAACAAATCAATTACCAGACGAAAAATGGAGGCAAGTGCGTTGTATTGATGACGCCTGTAGCCACCTCTGAAGTCACCGCTTGCATGACATTCGGTGGTGTCTATAAAATTTTATGGCTATTTTATTTCACTTTTTTGAATACCCCAAGTCATGTTAAATGTGGTACATCGATAAAATCACTTATTAAAACTGTAAACAGCTGTCTCGTGATCATTTGTAATCAAAAGCACATAGGACTTAGTGGGGTGGGGTGGGGGCTTTTTGACAAACTCCTATCGCAAATTTACAACATATCCTCTTCAGGATGTCCTTCTCCAAACCTACCGATAGCAAAGCGATCATAGATGGTGTTAAGGAATTCTATGGGAAACAGTTAACCAAATCAGAAGATCTCAAGACTGGCGCTTGCAGCTCTGGCAGCCGACCTCCAAAATATGCCCAGGACGCCATCGATCTTATTCACAAGGAGGTGGTTTCAAAGTGAGTCGTCTAAAATAATATAACGGTAAAGACAGGTTATTACCAATTTTACAAGCCTCTTATTACTCTTCCACAGAAACGGACCCAAATTTCGAATTATAGTAAATTTATTTTCTTTTAGTGAAACCCCAAACCCCATACATTTTCTCGACTTCGGATTTCAAGCAGGGTGTTGTACAAACTGTCAAAATTAACGTATTCTGTGTGAATGGACATTCATGTCAAATTCCCAAATAAATGAGACACCATACTGATCATAAAGAAGTTTGGGAACCAAAGTTCTCGGCTATTTACCAGAATTGCAACATTACGCCAGTCTGGTGAAAATGTTGTCAACTAATTTAGAACATTAAAAACAGACTCATGTGCCTTTTGTGCTACAAATGTGAAAACAGGACAATTTCAAGAATTTTAAAGATTTAATTACAATTTGATAAAATATAATGACGCAAGAGAGACATTCCCCAGTGCAAAGTGGATGCGTGTCAGGAATGTAGCACCACCCTTTAAAGCTTGGACGAATAATTTGTATTACGCTTTTGATAATACAATGTAATAATAATAATAATAATGATGATGACATTTTTCTTAAGGGTCTCAAGACCATGGAATCTTCAGTAGACTTTACTATACAAATCATTATCATAGGATGAAATGATAAATGGTAACAATTAAGTGAAAAATAAATGATTAAATTGGTAAAATAATAATCAATAATCCTTTCATAAGAAACTGAAAGATTTATAAGTTATATCTTTCAAATTATATACTGATGCTTAAACATTTTAACAACACGTTATTTTTCAATTTTCCATGAAAATCAGGTATTTGAGCAAATCAAAATTTGTTCAGTAGCTGTATGTTTTAACTTTGTGGCAATAAAGTCGAAACATGCAATCACTATTCACTATCCGACTGAGAAAACTATGCAGAGGGGGTGCTACTTATGAAAACCAGACTGGGCTCACCATATAAAGCACACGTACTGGAAGGTTTCATGGGTACTTTTGTTAAATCTTTTCAAGAAAGTTGTAGTCTAAAGACAGTGAAAGTACCCCTGCTATTGGTCTTCTCATTAATGGTTAACTACTTATAATCTGGATCCATCTTTGGAATTGGAATTGGAATCAATTCAGAGATGGTTTGACTTAATTTTTCGATAACAAGCTGTTATCAAGGTACCTTTTGCTGTGTGAGCATACTTTAAGCCTCATGATTTTGCACATTTTGGTACCACTATATAAAAGAATCATTCTTACTATTGAATCCCTCGGTATAAAGATCAAATTTTAGTAAAATATCTAGTATGTTAAATAAAAATTGCACATTCCCACAAACATTCCAAATGCTAGATACTAGAAGGTTTTGAAAAAGTTGTTGCTTATCTGATGAGCACCTGTGTAAGTCTTCATTTTTCTCTTAGGTTTCATTGATGTTCCATTTTCTTTTACAATGTATAGATTTTTAAGACACACGATGGGCACTCTATTTTTTCTACTGTTGTCAGGTACTATGGGTGTGGTCTTGTGATCCCACAGTGTTTGACTGACATGAAGATTTTGGACCTTGGCAGTGGCTCAGGACGGGATGTCTATGCTCTCAGCAAGCTAGTGGGAAAGAATGGCCATGTGACTGGAGTAGACATGACAGATGAACAGGTCTGTTTTTGGCGATTTTTAAGTTCCAGTGTGACATTCATAGTTGCAGTCATATATATAACACATTTGCAATATCTATATTTTTTATGCATAAAATTTAATGAAGGTCTTTAAATATAAAAAATAATGGATTATATAATGATCTGATGATGCTATAGGTATTTTTTTGGTTCTAGCTGGATGTTGCTAGAAAATACATGAATTATCATGCGGATAAATTTGGCTATGAGAAGCCAAATGTTGCATTTGTCCAAGGATACATTGAAAAGTTGCTTGAGTTGGGGATTCCAGAGGGAACTTTTGACATCATAGTGTAAGTAAAAAATAATCAGTAAAGTTGATCTGAAGGTATTTTGAAAGAAAGCAAGAAAGCAATATCTGAATCAATCAATCAATCCATAGATATATATATCCAGAAAAGATTTAAGCACGATTACTGTCAACATTTCATTGATTATTCTATACATTTATTGAATTGCTTGGCATGCTTTGCATCACTGTAAATTTTTTTCTTAATAGATCCAACTGCGTTGTCAATTTATCAACAGATAAAAAAGCCGTTCTCCAAGGAGCATATTCACTACTGAAGGTAAGGCAATGGCAATATTCCAGTTGAATGTGACTTAACAGTTGTTCTATAGAATAAAAAAGTCTTCACTTTTTTCTCAAGAGGAGATTTGCATTTCCCCCGTATCCTAGGGCCACCTGTTAAACCTGTTTTGAAAGTATGGGGCCATGCCAGTCTGAATACAATTCTGGGTCTGTCAATGTTAACATAATGTTATGTCAGCCAAGGTCGTCTATACATATCCATGGGTCAGAGCATTTGTAGTTTTGCCTCTGTTATTTACACCTGTCTGTGAGTGGTTTGGTGTGACTTTCTTGAGAATTACTATTATTATTTCAGGAAGGAGGTGAACTATACTTCAGTGATGTTTACGCAGACAGTGACCTTCCAGAAAAGATAAGAAGACTAAAGGTTCTATGGGGTATGGGATGCATTTGTTTGTAGCTAAACCATAAGAGAATCTACATGTAGAGATGAGGAGATTTTTGCAAAACACAATTATTTATTCAGCTCATGTCCCTGTACCTAATAAGGCAATTAGATGACTCTTGGGACAAAAGAAAACATGCACCATTTATTCAAAATAAGAACCATGGAAGAGGAGACAAAAGCATCTGCACTGTTTTTCTTGACACGTGTATATATTGTAGGGTAATATTATATTGAGATTTTGGCACAAAGGAACATAGAGCATATAACTTTTTTTTATCGTTATCAATGGTTTGCCTAAACAAATTGATAAAAACAGCTTACCCCAGTTACTTGGTACAAAATGTTCATGTTTATGAAGTGAGGTCTCACTGAATGATTTTTTTCTGTGAATCAGCATTATTTACAGCTTTTTTCATAGTCTATCATAAGGGTAGTTTTGATTCTCCGCTTTATCATTTTAATGCCTATCAGCAGAAATATATATGAAAAACAAAAATTTATCTTTTAACACAGTCCCATGCCTGTTGTTTATCAATTTTCATCCATGATGCAATCATTACAAATCAAACTGACATTCACATTCCATTACCAAACATAGAATTAAATCAGTTTCGGGGACAAGATATCTCTTTCTGTCACGAATTTCATTTTCAGGTGAAGGTCTTGGAGGAGCCCTCTGGTGGCAGGACTTAATCAAGATAGCAGAAAATGTCGGTTTTGCAACCCCACGACTTGTCAATGCCACACAATTCCCTATAACCAACAATGAATTAAAAAAGCTTGTGGGTACGTTGAATATATCCCAGGGTTGATTGGATGTGCATGAAATAATCTAGGAAAATCCACATTTCAAAAAAAGAAAATGAAAATGGAATGAATAAGGTTGATTGAAAAATATACAAAGATAAAAAATAAAAACAGAATTACATATTTTACCGTATGTGTTTGGATCTATGCAAAATAGCTACTTATACCAATTTCTGGGATACATTTCCAGAGGGCCACCAGTATGTGTCTGCTGAGTATCGCCTGTTCAAGCTTCCAGCCAAGCCCAGCAGTCCATGCCAGGTTATATATAAGGGTGGTGTGTTAGGTAGTGAAGAGACTTTCCAGTTGGACTACAGAAGACAGTTTAAGGTACGAGTGTTTATTTACGTCTGTCTTATACTCGAGGCGATTTGAATGGAATACTTGTATGTATAATATTTCAATATGTAATTAAACATAGCAATCGTTTTTGTCTCAAAATTTTGGACACATTGACTGAAAATTGTTTAAATATTTTCCTTTGGAGGGAGAATAAATGTCGAATATATATTGAAAAGGTAAGGTAGACAAACAAACAGTTTGGTTATATGGCATGGTTTGTAATAAAATTTTTGAAGACAACCAGTAGATCTACATGGATGCTTCAGCGTGTCAAAATTATCTTCTTCTGGTTTGTATGCATTAGAAGTCAATGCTCTGCATGAAAGTGAGTTGACGTTAAAATGAATGTGTTTTACGATAAAACTACTGAAAAACCTCAAGTGGACTAACTGGACCAGCAAGATTCTTATTAATCCTATAATTTCAGACATAATTGGTGGATTCCATAGGCAAACTGATGCTTTTCTTAATAACGATACGTTGAACTGTTTTCATCGATTTTTAACTCATTTTTATGTACAGACACAGATGTGTCTGTACATATAGCCATCATCTGCGTCTGTCGTCGCCGTCGTCATGCACTTTTACCGATAACATGATAAGTGGAAAACTGTTTTTTCTTTTGGCTTGAAACTTACAGAACTGATGAATATTCGTAATACGCAGGTCAAGTTCGAAAATCAGCATGATGGGGTCACTTATAGGGAATTTATGCTGTTTTTTCACTTTTTCACCATATATGCAACACCGATAACACGATAAGTGAAAAATCATTTTACCTTTTGGCTTGAAATTTGCAGAACTAATGAATATTCATATTACGCAGGTCAAGTTCGAAAATCAGCATGATCGGGTCATTTTTAGTGAATTTAGGCTATTTTTTCTCTTTTTTCAGCATATATGCAGCACCGATAACACCACAAATGGAAAACCATTTTACCTTTTGGCTTGAAACTTACAGAACTGATGAATATTCATAATACGCAGATAAAGTTAAAAAATCAGCATGATCGGGCCATTTTTAGGGAAGTTATGCTGTTTTTTCACTTCTTTCAACATATATGCAACGCTAATAACACAATATAAGAAAAACAGATAGGCCAATTGTCATTATACTCACAGGAGTAGTCAAACTAACTAGAACGCAGGTTGAGTTCCAAAATCAGCATAANTATATATATATATATATATATATATAAATGTTACAAAGTAAGAGTACAGGGCTCCTGGCAGATGGGAGTGATAAGTCACAACTTGAAAATGAGTTTAAGCAATTTTTTTTGTGTGTAATTTTCACTGTACCTCATTCTGGCATTTCCAAAGTTTAACTCTTATCAGCCTGACACCTTAGGGACTATTTCCAGACCCTATCACGCTAACTGTGGATCGATCTATCTCCATGGGAATTCTCGCTAAATTGCAATCAATGTAAGTGGCTTAGTTGTCTGTCACGCCTACTGAAACTGGCATGCCAGAATCCTAAGACTATCAAACTGAAAGCAATTTAGTGAGAAACCCCTTGGAGTTGGATTGATCCTGTTAGATTGATCTAGGTATGGGAACTTAGTCTAATGCTTGATACACATTTTACTTTCATCCTAATCCAATGTTATGCAGAATAAGATTTTGATGTTGGCTATGCAGTTACAGTAAGCATAATACATTAGTTCATCAGAATTGACAGTATCCTATTTCCTGCGTTTTTATTTTCTGGTTTTTGTCTGTACATTTGACAGCTTTGCTGCCTTGTTATAAAAATTATGCTGTTTTTTCACTTTTTTCATCATATATGCAACAACAATAACACGATAAGTGGAAAACCATTTTACCTTTTGGTTCGAAACTTACAGAACTGAAGAATATTCATGATATGCAGATCAAGTTTGAAAATCAGCTTGATAGGACCATTTTCACAAAAGTTATACTGTTTTTTTTGCTTTTTTCTGCATATATGCAAAACTGATAATGCATTTTAAGGAAAACCGGTCGGCACTTTGTCTTGCAACTCACAGGAGTGATCAGTCTGACTAGTATATACAGATCCACATTTGAAAATAAACTTGATTAGTAAGTTTTGATGAAGTTATGCCTTTTTTAGTATTATAAGTGGTTTTTCTTTAGATTTTTATTCTTAGGCATGTTAAGAGTCTCATTATAGAACTAATTAGATATGTAAAAGTGTTGTTTTGACATTTTCTGCTTCTTAACAAAATTGGTAGTTGATTATATAAAATTGACAGTAAACCTGTTATCGTGTATTGTGTAATAAAGTATCAAAAATGGAAATGAACTCATATCATTGCAGTTTGTCAGATTCAATCTTTCACTAAGTTAAGAATCTCAGAATGGAGCAAATTGGACATTTTAAATTATTGGTATTTTTCCTTAGGCAACATTTTTCTCAGTTGGTCATATAAAAATGACAGTAAATTGATTGTTTTGTTTTATGTAAAATTTTTTATGATGTGACCTTTAACTCCCATCCACCTGTCATAGTGGTGATTTCACGACCAAACTTCATTTTAGAAACTTTCACATTTGAAATCAAATTAAAAAGATGATATTACATGAATCTGTTAATGTATTTTGTTCATTGGAAAGAACTGTAACCAAGTTTTAAAGGATGTTTTCAGTTTTAAAAGGATTTAATAACTTTATTTACAGCTTCATCTCCAAGTTAAAGTTTAAAGCAGTCTGAATTTAATTATGTTAAAGTCACTAGTAATTAATATGTCTTAATTCTGTTAATTGGCTTCAATATTTCTGACTTGTTTTAGGATTCACTGTAATGCATTTTGTGTGTATTAGTATATAAGGAGAAGAACTTGTATTGTAATCAGAGATTGGAGATCAGAGCTGATCAGAGTGAGTTTGGTCAGTTGAACCGATAGCTGGATTGTCCCTGCTGTCTTAGGAGACTCCAGATCTCTCAGCCAGAGAAATAAACGTAGAGATCAGTCAGTTTGTAGTTGATCTCTGGAAAACATATCACTGCTGTTGTGTTACCTGCTGGAGAAGTAACTCAGACCAAAATGTCCCCTGTGATACACCTGAGGCTCTGCACATTTTCTGTATTTCCACATAAGCAGTTGTATTGGTATTTATGTCTTTAAGCATCATGTAATATTACTTTATGCACTGTCATCATTTTTTCAAATATTGGGACTTTCATTATGTGAATTTGAACTCTCATGGTCTTGAAACTGTAATCTCATTGAAGGGGTGGATTGAGACCATCTTCTGGGTTTTTCTGGGTCTATTGGAGGATGGATCAACAAAGATACTAGTACTTTGGAATACTGTCAGAAAATATCCCTGGATCCGCTCCTGTTACTGACCATTGTACTAGGTTCTTGGATATACCACGGGTATAATCTGTACGCTAGGGACTCTAATCCTATGCTGGAAGATTCTAGGTACGGTACACGATTCCTGACTTGGGTTATGCCCAGAGAGAAAAGTAACACAACACCACCGTTTAGTTACCAAAATCAAAACTCCTTTATTGTCAGGTCGTAGCCCGATTTTATACTTAAACTTGGCGTGACAGACATTTATCTTTACTGTGAATATGCTACAATTATAGAAGATGAGATAAAGGAAAAAAGAGTCTATTAACGTTAGATAAGAGATATCTTACTTCTATTGAAATTGTTGTAAAGCGAATGACTTACGCTTTCACTAATTACAGATAACAATTAAAGCGGAATCAAAAGAGTAAAATGATAGAGAGTTATTGAGAGGGAGTTAAGTTTCACCAAGAGTCCATGGGCGTAACTAGGCATACGCACGGATGCACTGTGCGTACAATTTTTTGGCCAACCATGATATTATTTTATTTTTCACGGAATATAAAAGAAAATCCTCTGCTTATTAAAGTCATCTGTATCAATTCTAAAGGCACAATTGTTCTGACCCCCCCCCTCGTCTTGCAAACTGAGGTAAACAATGCCTGTAACCTGAACAAGTCCTATCTTAATCCTCCATCTAACTGAAACTTCCTTTACCTTTACCTCTTTCAAACAGCAGCTCCCGCAACCCTGGGGGCACTAGATAAAATCTGGACACCAGGTTTAAGAAGGAGCTAGAGAAACAAAGGAAGAATTTCTCCTGCAAAGCTTCAAAGAATTTTGACATGGACTTGACCCAGCTTACCCCTCCAAACTAACAGGGTGACATGAGCAATTTTTACAAACAAATAATAAACTTAGATGTATCAGAGCTCTGTCGTGTCGTACAATTGGTTGTTTTTGGGAGCCATGCATCCACATGTAAGGTGAATGAAACCGTATGTTAGTTCAACTCAGAGGTGGATCCAGGATTATTCGAAGGGGGTTCAACATCATATGCGAAGCTAGCCTCCTTTTAAATAAATATAACTGGGTAATAGGAATATTGAAACTTTTTCAATTGCGAGAAAATTTCCGACTAAATAATGATGTTATTATTAATGGAAATTAAGCTGCGATGTGTGGTACATATGCTGTAGTTACGGTGTCCTTCATCTCTTGCGTTAGTCTACATTTTGCTGGGAATTTTAAAAATCTGTGCGTACAATTTTTAAAGGTCTGGTTACCCCCCTGGAGTCAACAAGTGTAGAACATGTTTTTAGTGTCAGGAAAAGATGACAAAGGTCAAAGTCAGTAACAGTTAATGTGATTGGATAATTTCATAACATATTTTAAAGGGATAATAACTCTTCGTTTTGGCCAAAAAATGAATTTTCCTGAAGTAAACAACAATTTTCCCATAATTACCAATGGTTAATGAATCTATTTTTACATTCAAAGTTAGTCCCTGTTTTTTTTTTTTTAAGTTTGGTTTTTCGTTAAAATCTCTTAAGAGATTATAACATAGTATAGCAATAAATGGAGGTCACGTGATCTGAAGACAAGCTCAGATATCAGAATAATAGCTATAATTGCCGTTTTTGACGTAAAACAGAATAGATATTTCTATGAGTTATTCACAATGTTTTTATTGTGAAATATAGACCTCATACGAAGAGTTATTATCCCTTTAATTTTGATCCACTGTTTATTGCATGATAACTGAGTTTCAGATAAGGTCTAAGCATGAGTAATCCAAATAATATTTTAGATATCTTTAATTGAAAACAAGTCTCTTAGGGATTACCTAATAAGGAAATGTTGCATGGGGGAAAAAATTTTGTAATCACGCAAAGACAATGGAAAAGAAAACAAGTAAATACGTGATCAGTACAGAAAAAATTGAGTATAAATTTGTGTGAAGCTGTATGAAGAGATAGTTGGTGAATAAACGTTCGAAAGCTCCAGACCGTTGTCCTCATATTTCACTATAACAAAACAAATTACGAGTTGCGTGCTTAAGCCCGCGACTCTGATTGAATCAATTTTCATTTTTATTAATATTAAACTTTACTGGTCTAAACACCATGTTACCAGTTGTGCATGATTAAAATTCAGTGTTGACTGACTGCGCTATTATAAGCATTATTTATTATTGCATCAAAATTGACAAAATGACCTATTTTTGCATCTTTATTTTCTATTTTTTTGTCTGTACATTTGACAGCTTTGCTGCCTTGTTTACACCAAACCGTCTTTTGTTACTGTTATCACTGTGGTAAACCACTAGATGAAGAAAGCTACACACAATGGACAATAGAAGTGTCACCCCCTGAATCAGAGTAATCAAATAATAATCAAGTAATCAATAATCAAAGTAGGCAGATCTTGAGTAGTTATAATGCATGGCCTACATTTTGTGTTTTTATTTTATTTTATTTTATTTTATTTTATTTTATTTTATTTTATTTTATTTTGTGAAATTTGATGTTAATAAAATGATACCAGGTGCATATCATTCCACAGTCATTTATCTCCCCCAAAGCATTGGTTCAGTAGGGGTACGTGACACTTCTATTGTCCATTGTGTGTAGGTACTGACGGTAATTATTGGGATAACTCTTTACGCAACACAGGTTTTGAGTAGGTTGGTATTCAGGTTAGGTTTCGATTCTAAAAGTTACGTGGAACACTGTAATTAAAATAATTTACTCGTACTGGATATGGCATTGCTTTACAATGAGTGATGTGTTCCCATGGAGATGTAATTCAGCATCCAACATTATCACCAGTAATACCATAAATTGCAAGATAACAAGACCAACATCTGTGTGGGTGTGTCTTACGGCATGGTGGCCAAATCCATTACACATGGATGGTAAAGAACCAGTTTGTCTACTTTTGAGTGTTCCCGTACACCAGTTTCTTGACGGGGCATTCAGTCAAACCACAATTGGCAATGTTGGCACCATTTGTATAATAAACACCCAAGATCAAGAGATAGTCGCACCAACTTTTGACAATCAAAATTGACAGTTTCTTATATGAAGTTTGTGGCATCGTTTACGAATAAATGTTTGTTGAATTCAGACTATAAGTTGAGGATTATACAGTATGTTTTAACCCATCATAATCAGAGTCTAACCTTCGCAAACTTGAGGAAACATAAGTACCCACATTTTTTTATGAGAACAGGAGCAATCAAATAAAAAGTACCGACACTGTGAGTAATTTATAATTCGCCCAACTCTGATTGCTTTAGGCGTTATTCGCTATATAGTATGATATCTGATATTCATTTTCTGTCAACCAAAGTATATATTCTAAGTGTTTTTTATCTACTGCTGAATTCATTAAATTGAATACAGTGAGCGCCATAATAACTATTTGAATTTTGCAGTTTTGAAATTTCAGTTTAATCGGCAACTACTGGGGTGGAATTTCAGATTTTTAGATGTTATTCTTTCTTTCTTTGTAGAAAAATGAGCCTGTCAATGTTGATGAGCAGACAGCAAACATTCTTCAGAACACCAGGTTTGCAGATTGGTTCATCTTTAACCCCCTTCCTGACAACCAGACGCAGGAAGTAGACAAGGTAAGATAATTTTTTTTGTTCAATCACGCAAAGTCGTACGATCATTAATGAAATCATGCGTGTAGATAGCCCAATTGTTCATTGGTTTGAAGCATTAAAAGATTGCAATAGTACACTATGAGGAATCAACAGATCGATAAAGCAGAGACTCGCGGGTCCAAATATCTGTTGATCTAAAAAACAAATCATAAAGGTGTTCTGTTTTCCCAACATATCATCTGTGGAAACCGCTGCTAGTGTCTTTGCGTATGAGTTGCCCTCCTTGAAGATTAACATTTTCTCACGAGACATGCGAAGGTATCTACACTGGTAGTTGAGGTGCCCATTGGCTTTCAAGGTCGTCTACAGATGTTGAAATTAAGAAAGGAGCAGTAAGCATTTTCTAATGACAAATAATGATTTAGGTCTTTCAACACAAACGGCATTATTTCATGACCTCGACTCACTAATATGTCTCAATTTAAATTGCAACCATAACGTAACGTTACAGATGGTAGTCAGATGACTGAAACAACCGGTAGTCAGATGACTGAACCAATGTATACGACCCATGCTAATCAGATTTAAATGATCAGGATATCATTGAGACTGACAATATCATATCATTCGTTCAAGGTTACACCAATAGTTCAATCAAGTGTAAATGTTTTACAAACTGTCTACTTTTAGGACGGCAGTTTGGATCCATTTCTGTATATCGCTACCAAGGACATCAAGGCACCAAATGGTGGATGCCCTTCTGCTGAGGCAGACTAAAATGGTACAAACGTATATGTATCATCGAGCAGCTAATTCTATCCTGGGAATATGTTAAAAAAAGCTTGCATGTCACAGTTTTATTTTTACCTATTTTATCAAAATGTAAAATACTGAAAGCCGACAAACTAAATCATAAATAAAACCAGACTCATAAAGAGAGATATAATTTATGCCTTGTTAATACTTCCAACTTGGCCTGCAACCTGCGAACATTTTCTTTAACTTGTTATTAAATCGCACCTCTCAACATGACTAAAGGCGTATACAAGCTTGTTGCAAGGCCGTGATAAAGAAAACTGTTTTCAAATTTTGTGACAGTTTTATTGTTGTCAAGTTCAATAGACTAAAACATATTTTCTTTGGAATTGGATGAAAAATTTATTACCAATGAAAGGCATATATATATAAAGTGTTATGACTGCAAGGTTGTCACGAAATCGAAACTGCACATGCAGCATACTATTCAATGTTTATCATTTATCAGCTTCATTTCTTTTAGTAATAGGACTTTCAATAAATGCGGCCGTCATCGGCCAAATTTCGATCAACATACTCGAGTTTGTTCCATTATTTTATCTGCATGTCATATCATTTAAATTAGCTTAGATCAAGGAGACATAAATGTATTATACAGCTTACTTACAACTTTTCAATTTCAGCTTCATTACATCTGAGCACATCTAAAATTTGCCAGACATCCTAACGTATAAATAGGCATATGCTATTGTTTGAGCACTTTGGTGTCTTAAAAAACTGTTAAGCACTATTTTGATAACTAAAATCTCTCTGCCCGAGAAAGAACAATGCAGAGCTTACATGTACCTGTAGAACATACAATTGCATCATACACAGCAGCACCAACAGCGACCCCACCACTATTCTGGTGGAACATCTATAACATACTTCTTACCATAGAAGTAGAGAATGTTCTTACGTAATAATAATAACGAGGGAGAAAGAGAAAAAGAAAGCGATACACTGTATGCATTTTCTTTCCGATTTCAATGATTTCTTTATTATAAAAGTACAATTTGTATTACGCCATTAAAACCATAATGGTTTTTTCAATGGAGTCAGTATGCGTGTTTACGGACTCTAAATGTCAATTTGCTTATTTTCTCTCTGTAAAGAGTATTACAGTCGCTATTTGATTTTAAAGCCAGTGTCGTTGTTGTTGTTCAGTTCAAATTTACGGACGATACGAGTCATGTGATTTGCATCTCCAATCCTCTTTGCACATTATTAACTTTAGTGCATGTCAATTTTTTTTTTAACAAAATCAATGTTAATCTAGCAAAAATTATCAGAAATATTTCACACTTTTCAAAGCCAAATCAGAATATGTGGAACATTTGTTTGACATCTATTATGCAGGAGCAAATCCAGAACTTGTATTCTGTATAAGGAGTTCAACAGCATTTTTTGACCTCTGCACATTTGTCACTCTTCTTGGAAGGCCCACAGCACCCACCACTAGGTGCCTTGACACCCTTGGTAGAGATATAGAGAAATGGGTCCAGACAGTTCTCCTGAAAGTAGATACACTGTTAACGAATAAATCTTTGCTAAAGCTTAATATTGTACGTACAGATACTAGTACTTTATTTGAACACACACACACACACTTATGAACTTCTGGATTATATTGAAAAAGTATAGAAAGAAAGAAACCAAATCACAGAAAAAATAAAAGATGCACTGATGCATTGTGGCTGAATGTCTTGATTAGCTTATTAAAACGTAAATATTTCATTATAGAATTGATGGCAGACAGAGTAATTGATCACCTTGTCCATTTCCTGCGTCTGGTTGTCAGGTAGGGGTTGAAAACTGAACCAATCTGCAAATCTTGTGTTCTGAAGAATGCTTGCAGTCTGTTCATCCACAGTCACAGGTTCATTTTTCTGAAATGAGCAAAAAACTGCAAGTCTAAATTTTGGATGGACACGGAAAACAGGGACAAGATGGTTTCTATAAAAAAACTTAATGGGAAGGATGAAAGTGGAATAGCTACAACATACATATGTCAAAGAGATTAACAAAGAGTCCAACTGTAAATCCCCCCTCAAGAAAAAAATAAGTAAATAAAAGTTTTTAAAAAATCAGATACGATATGTCTGGCCTGAAATCTCAAGTGAAAAAATTGCTTTTACATATTTCATAATTTAACTGGTATCTAAAAATAAGAAAAATTAGATTATAAGATTATAATAGTTTCTTAAAAATTACAGTACAGAAGGAAAATAAACATAAATACCTTGAACTGTCTTCTGTAGTCCAACTGGAAAGTCTCTTCACTTCCTAACACACCACCCTTATATATAACCTGGCATGGACTGCTGGGCTTGGCTGGAAGCTTGAACAGACGATACTCAGCAGACACAAACTGGTGACCCTCTGGAAATATATGCCAGAAATAATTGTGTCCATTTAAACTAAATGGTATTTAAAACTCACACAGGAGGGCTGCATAGGGACCTTTATCCCTGCATCCTCTTTGTTCTAACATGCAGTGGTCACGTGTAACTGACCAGTGGCCAGTCCAATCAAATCAGCTGCCTCGTTTGGATATTTGGTCACGTGAAACTGCCCAACGGTCACTCACAGCTTTAAACTGCACAGCGGCAGCAGCAAGCCATCGGAGCTCATCGTAGATTATATGAACTTTGCAATGTGTTAACTGTATAATTTTTTTTTTCTTTCTTTTCCTCCCCCTCTGGAAGTTATCGTGCTAAAGACACTGGGCCTTTTAATTGTACTACTATTACATGTATCTTGTGCCTTTGTTCAGTAGTTTTAGAGGTGTAGGAATAAAGGTGACTTAAGCTCGAATGTGTGTTGTTTTAAGTAGCAGCCAGACATAATTGTATGCAAGGAGGATGATATATTCATTTACTTAACCAATACTGCGCAAGTTTTTTCCCACACTCAATGAAACCTGACTATACTAAACACTATATACTGTACTGTAAGATGCAATTTACATTTTTGAAAGTAAGACATCTGCCTGGGGTAGCGCTAACACTCACCAATTTAGCCAAATGCTAAAACTAACTTAAATTGGCTAAAGAAAAAGGGCTTGATTTGTCATGTTTTAGCCAAATTATAACCATTTTGATAACAAATTGACAAAAATATGGTGATTTGGCTAAGCGAAAAAAATTGCTAGCGCTACCCCAGTTTGTAATCCCTGAAGTGCAAACAATCTGAAGATCCATAAACACACATTTTAATCTAAAATTAGAAAACTGACTGATATCTGTAATCTGACATACCGACAATTTTCTGCAATTCATCATTGTTAATGGGCAAGGGTGTGGCATGTACAAGACGTGTTGTGGTAAAACCAACTTCTTCTGCTATCTTCACTAGATCCTGCCACCAGAGGGCACCAGCTATACATTCACCTAAAAGATCAAGTTAATGTGCACAGTATAATCAATTACTCAAATGTCTTTGATCATTTGTCAATAACAAATTTCTGTCACTTGGAGAGGAAAAAATCTTGTGCGAGAAAGTTTTGCATAAAATATAAATTGGTTTCTTGTGGTTCTAGGTTGCTTCTAGTCTTTTTACTTTTGGCTTAATAACTAAAATGTTCTCAACCAAAAGACTCTACCATATGACCAGTCAAATCAATTATAAACTGTTAAAATGCATTTTTCAGCCAACACACTTCTAGGTACAGACTTGCTAATATATGCTAAATGTAATAATGATTAATACTCTCCTTTTGTAAATTAATCTGTAGGGGCGTAAATAATAAAATACCATCATACCCCATAACACCTTGTGCTTTCGAATTGTGTCTGGTAGGTTGCTGTCTGCATACACATCACTGAAGTAGAGTTCTCCACCTTCCTACAAACAATAAACATATTCAAGGGGTTAATTCAAGGTCACAAGGGGTCAATGCAAGGTCACAAGGACTGCAAATCAGTTTAAAACTCATTATGTTTACCATATGTGCGACAACAGCATAATTATGTGACCACTGCTGTTCTATATATAAAAAAACAGGTTTCACAATATTAGTATTAAGACTAAAATTACTGAAGACTGAAAAAAAAAAGTTCGTCAATAAAGAAACAAAAGTTCTAAAGGGACAGAAGTTTGAATACCTAGTGTTACCAAATAATGTAATGAAATGCATGAAGATGTCAAGAAAAGACCATCCTTTAAAAAAAACTTTAAAAATGGTATTGATGAAAGGCCATGCTCCCTGATTTTTTTCAAATGTGCAAAAGGATGTGTTATTCAATTTAAACCTGATGGTTTTGTCTCTCATTGTGCGTGGTTTACTAATTACCTTCAGTAATGAGTATGCTCCCTGGAGAACTGCTTTTTTATCAGGTGATAAATTCACCACACAATTGGAGCTGACAAGGAAAAGCTTTGAGTACAACATTCAAGTACTAGTAGGCAACTCTATATATGTAAATGTAATGACATAAATCACCATGTAATAACTTAGCAAAATATATTCACACTTCAATCCACTTCCATGTAATGTATTTTTACATCAACTTAAGACAGCTTTTGCCAAATATCTTATACATATACTTATAGTACTCTTTTAACAAGTCTTCAAACAACTTATATGTATATATTTCTTACAAATGTATTTACACTATGATGTCAAAGGTTCCCTCTGGAATTCCCAACTCAAGCAGTTTTTCAATGTAGCCTTGGACAAATGCGACATTGGGTTTCTCATAGCCAAATTTCTCTGCATGATAAGTGACGTACTTTCTAGCAACTTCTAGCTACAAGAGAGTTTAAAAATGAGTAAACAATGATGTCATCATTCAGACTGCAAGCATTTAAAAACATTAACTGGAACATTTATGTGACTGAATTACCATCTGACTGTGTAACATATAAATAAAATCTTTAAGAAATAAAATAAAAAATCATCAGATCTTATATGGTTTCAAAAAATGGAAGTACCCCAAGAGATAGTTAAATCTTAACATTTTCACTTTTTTGTATGTCAAGACAAGAAGAGCACCCCAAACTATTTTAAGATGTGCATGGAGTAAATACTTATGGCTTCCATAATGTAGCCATAAAACATGGCACAGATGCTGAGCTATTGAGTGGCCCGATTTTAATGTGCATCAGGTGGTTCACCAAATGTCACCTTAATTGGATATTCAATATAGCCTAGCACCTGTAGCACATTTTAAGGGCACATTTCAAAACAAAGAAAATCAAGATATGTACATGTAGTTACTTTGTTCACATACACGTATTATTTTGAGTGCACTTCTTTTCTATACATACTAAAAGACAAATTGGACAAGATTCACCTACCACCAATGAATATTTTGTTCAACCCCCTTGCTAACCATACAGTTTTTTGCAGTAATGATTTTTATTTTGCTGTTGATCTGCATTAAAGATTTAAGATAGGGGGAATTTCAGACAAACCCATTGGCAAAATGGTCGAAGGTTAGAAATAACCACTCATAGTCTGTTCTACACATATATATATATATATATATATATATAAGCCATTTCTCAAGCTTGGTCAACCGAGGGGTAAAAAAAGTTTTCTTTTTCAGAAAAAAAAAAAATTAAAAATGCTAGTTACAGACCTGAAGAAGTTGTTATCCCAAAGAAGGTTTTGTGAAGCTTCCCTTTCTCTTACGACTGACTGAAGAAAAAAATGCTAAAAATGTCTAAAAATGAGAAAATGACTAAAAATTAGAAAAGAACCTGTTCATCTGTCATGTCTACTCCAGTCACATGGCCATTCTTTCCCACTAGCTTGCTGAGAGCATAGACATCCCGTCCTGAGCCACTACCAAGGTCCAAAACCTTCATGTCAGTCAAACACTGTGGGATCACAAGACCACATCCATAGTACCTGTCAACAGTAAACAACATTTCAATCACCTTTTAAGAACATCTGCAAATTTGTATATTTTAATCTCATGGTGTAGGCAACTCTAAGTTAACATCCTGCCCTGATTTAACCTAAGCATATTTTTAAGCTCAAGAATATATGTAGACACATAAAATGCGTGTGTGTGTGTGTGTGTGCGCGCGCGCGCACAGGGGACATGCTCATGAATGTGTTATACAAAATGACAAGAGGACAATATCAGCAAAAACAGCCCCTTGAAAACAATTTAATGCTGTACTTATAAAATACCAAATTATCTCTTCACAAGGTGTGACACAATAAATTGCAAGTTGGTTTCACAATAAACAACCCACAAATCTACATTAAAATTTTATGATGTCATACTGTATGTCAAGCAGGCAAACATTCCAATATTCCAATGAAACCACCTACAGATTACAATCCATAGCAATACCACATCTTTAGAGAATTTTTTCATAAAACATATTTCATTATAATATTCCATAACTTTTATATAAATTCCTGAATAATAATAATAATAATATAAATAATAATAATAATATGCCACTCTTCAATATAACTTGCCTGGATACCACCTCTTCATGGATAAGACCGAGTGTTTCCCGGACATATTTTGGTGGTGCACTGCCAGTGGTGCAGGCACCAGTTTGGAGGTCTGCTGACTGCTTCAAGCGTTTGCCATAGTATTCCTTCACATCATCTATGATAGTGTTGTCTGGGGTGGAGTTGCAGCAAGACATCCTGACAGGAATTGGAGTGCAAACCAGAGGAGGTTGTTTTCCTACAAGTTCGGGGGAAAAAATCAATAATAATCAGTAGCAATGCTTCATTTATTTCCACTTCTTCAATGATAAAAAATTATAAGCTATAGTCTAGCATTTGACTGGTAACCAAGGGGTTGGACTTATCAAAATACAGGGATTTTACAAATCAAACAGTTAACATTTATTAGCATCTTTTGCTGTCACCAAAGTGCACCAAAAGATTATTCATGAAATTTTCTTGCAGAAAAAGAAGCAGTGAAAAAGGCAATCAGCTATTTTCAGACAAATTAAATTATATTCCTCAGGTTATGATAAAAGCTATGCACTTAATAATCCCAGACATCTTGAACCATTTATCTTTGCAGGCCTGAAACCAACGTTGATAATCTACAGCCAAGGGACACGGTAAAAATGCTTCATATGTGAGTTGCAATGCATGTCATAGGTAATTAACCTAGATATAGAACATGCCAAATATTGCCATTTGGCACGAGCACTGATACATTACTTTTGTTTCAAGACAAGATTTTACATACGGTGTGGGCGCATTATTCGCCAATGTTCTGACTGCCACTAAAGAAGCCAACTCTTTTCACCGATTACTGGAAGAAACCGCAAACACCGACATTTACCGCACGCAAAAACCAAATCGTTGGCTGTCGTTTCAGCTGCAGCTTCGCCATTGAATAATCTTGTGTACTAGAAACGGCTCCAAGAAACAACTTACTAGTACAAGAGAAATGTTTGCCAGCATCCGCTCCTTACTTGTTCTTTCTTGCCTGCCACTGAGCGTGAGGTTTTCTGCTTTGTCACTGCCTAGTAGCCAGTCTCCCCGAATCGATATTGGCGTCAGCTATCGTGACTGTTCACAACTGCGTATTCTGGAAGGTCAAATGTTATTTACATTGCTTATCTCTGAGATTTGCCCACAGCCTCTCTCTGGAAAAGAAAAAGATCATGTGACGTTACTAAATTGCGGTTTTTGAGCAGGGCCCCGTAGCTCGAAAGCTTCGCACGTGCGAGAGCATGGCGAGCGTGCGCTATTTGCTAGTGCGATTGCACCCACCTGCTATCTCGAAGCCTTAGCAAACGCAACGCAATTATAACCTCAAACTCTACTAAAATTCGATTGCCGCATAAAGTGAAGACGTCATAACACAATTACACAAAATGTAATTTTTTTCACCATGACGCAAATCAAGAGGTTGTTTTTATTTATAGGAATATCATAATTATAAATACTGATTCAATCAATTAAAAGCTTCCACGTTTTTGTTATATGTTTTTGCTATTATATGTTGCTGTTATATGCTATTATGACTAGCAACCCGAACTTGCCACCATGTTTAATTACATGAAAGACACATTAAAATGACGAATTATTCATACGCAGAGGCCTTTGCGACTAGTTTGTATCGCCGCAAATAATAGCCTCGAAACTAAAGGTGATTTCGACATTAGCGCACGGCCGGGATTTGCGAAGCTTTCGAGATATGGGATAGCGCACGCTCGCCATGCTGGAGCACGTGCGCAACATAGCGAAGCTTTCGAGGTACGGAGCCCTGGATTACGAGATTTATGTATATCAGTTACCGTGTAGTTAGTTTTTTTACTCTCTGTTGGTTACTTTCATGTACTTACCCGACTTAATGACAGTTATTATGGAATTTTGTGTTGTTCATTCAACACCGAGAGAAATTAAAATGAAATGGTTTACATTGGCTAGTAATCAGCTATTTTAATTTGGTTCTTTTTCTGAAAAAAAGTGGACCTTTTACCATAAAACCTTCATATGTACAGATCAATTTCTTTTCCCAGAGTGGACCTTTCCCTAACAAAAATGATGGTTCATTCGACCCCCCTCCCCTGGCTGCGGGCTTGGGTAACCCAACAATTTAACCATAAATCATGAATTTGGGACTAAGTACTACGTGTATTCATTTTGGGTGCTGAGCTTGTGGTCTGAAAGCGATCAGAATTCAACGCAAAAACATGCACGTTTAGGGTGGAATTTTATTGCAGTTTTTTTGAAGTTGTATATCAACCTACCTCAAAACAACTGTCTTAAGTTTAAAATTTGAAAGTTGGTCGGATATATAAAACCAAAAATGTTTCTATATAGCCTAAGGTATATCTACTTTCCAATTGTTTGTGGCAAATCAGCTAGTAATCGGCATCTACTAGAATGCAGATATCGAGCAGCCTTCAAAATCGGTCTAACCCCACTGACAATAGCAATAGCAACTTTACTCAGATTTTAATTTACATCAACTTGAACTGTAAACTGTCAGAGGCAACATTAGCCCTCATTGATTATACTGTAGTGTTGAGTCCTTGCAGCGAGCAGGCAAGTCACTCTTATGCAAAAACAAAATTTAATGTGTTAGTTGAGTAGTTGTGCTTTGTGAAGAGCACAACCTAACGCAATGCTGCCAACACTATTATAAAACGAGTTCAATGCATTAAATGTACAAATTAAATCTGAAGAATATTGCATTTTTTTGCTTGACTAACTTGTTTGACTTTCATAGTTTCCAACTTTTTTATTCAATCAGAATTATACTACAACAGCTACTTCCACATGCCCTGTTTTTATGCAAGGCCTGATTCTAAAAAGATTTGGCATTTTGTTAATCAGTTTTAAACAACTGGGGAAAAACTCTATTACACCCAACTCATCAAAACATTCGAATTAAACTGGAATATTGAGAATTCATACAATCAAAATGAGAAAAAGACATAATGCTGGAATTCAAGATAACAAAAGGCCTGACCAAAAAAAAAAAAAAAAAAACTTCCATGATTAACCAGAATTGCACCTTCTGGAACGTATACATTTTGATTCAAAAGTGTAAAAATTCCATGTAGAGTTCATGAAGGTAGAATATGTTTTCAACCTTTATTTAAAATCAATGTGCAGTCTGTCAACAGATATGTATGTTTATATTTTGTCTGACACAAACTTCATCAGAATGTTGAAGCAAAAGCTGAAGCAAAAGTAATACTTTTAAGTTAACACTGAACAAAAATGTTTATTGCAATAGCACCTGTATAATAATATGTAAAATGAAGCATCAGAGTGCATTAAATTTTTACCTGCAGAGATTCAATTAAATATCATGCAATAGGGAAAATTAACTGCAGACTGATTGTAAAAAACAATGTTTGTGTAAACAGGCAAAACAACGAACAAGATATGAGTAAATTCAAAGAATATTCAATTAACAATGAAAGTGATAAAACATCTGCTTCAGTTGACTTATATCTCTGTAGGTAATTAGATAATTGTCAGTAACATTCCACCAACTTAATCACCATTATATATGTAAGAATACCAATATCTACACACGTTAAAAAAAAAACCTTAAGTACAACAAAAACTTAACATTTGACTGAAATATGTCTAAAGAATTCACATAATCTATACCAGTAAAAGAAAATAAAATGAAAATAATTTGCTGCAAAAATCTTTAAAATATATAACAAATTGTCAATGTGAAAGTAAATTAAAATCAATAGTGGAAAGCATAAAAAAATCAATACAAAGAATAAAGATCAATTTTTTAACTCTAAAAAGCATTTACTCTGTATGTTCTGACACATGACAATCACTAAATTAAATTTCTTCAATGCTGTTTCACAGGCTTGGAGTTTAGGGAGTTCCAACTGTTGTCTCCTGCTGTGGAAGATGTCTTGGATTTCTCAAGGAAGAACTGTGGATACTGGACGACTCTGTACATGACCAGTTGGGGGACAATAAGTACACATGTAGACTTAAATTGATACTCCAAAACACAATCTGCACGTGCATGTCCTGTGGAACCCGCAGAAGATATGGTGTGCGATAATGGAGAGAGGACCCTATATAAGACACCTGAGCCTGTAAAAAAAAAAATTTCAATTCAATTACTAAAACCAACGATCGAAGTCGAAGTGATAATATAGTTGTTCATGAAATAATATCAGACAACTTGTTTTAAAGATGAACTAAATCTGTCCTCGACTTTTGTGGCAGAATCAACTACTCTCAAATTAACATAAAAGTTATTATTATTATCTTTATATTTATGAAAGAGATAATACTTTTGATTGGTGTTCATTATATATCAAGTTGCACCAAATACCACGGCACCAGAATATATTACCTGGGCGGCTGCTCCTGCGTGTATTATTGACCAATCTAACATCCAAGAACAACCTGGATTGGTCAAACCATACATGCTCAGGAAATAGTATGGTAGGAAGTAAAACAAATAGGTCAGCATCTGGGCATAAAAAGATTTAAAAGTTAGTTACAATGTCGTTTTAAAATGTTTAAAAAGGTGGCAATGAAGAAAAATATGCTGAAATCAACCATAAACTTATTTAAAGATTTAAAACTGAATTAAATAATTGGGTACAATTGGGTACATGATTTGTAATATGTATCTTTTTTTACACCAATGAAACAATAAATAAGGTATGTGATCTGCAAATAAGTAGAACACAGTGTGAATGGACAATCAGAGATTATCCAGAGAAGTGGTAAGCATCTGAGGCAGGACCCCCAATTATGAAAAAGTTGGGTTACCTCTTTTTTTTTATCCAAGAACATTTTTTGAAGCTGATGAACCACACAAGTCTAATAAATTACTTCTTCAATGCAGGTTTATATTCATACCTGTACTGTACCAAATTTCCCAGGGTCTCCTAGATATGGTTCATACTGCAACTTGTATTGCCTTGTAAACTCCATGGATGAGTCTAAACAAGCCTGAAACAGAGCATTATAGCTGATCAATTGATATGTATGGGGATTAGATATAAGTACGGTTGTTTAACACAAATTTTTATGTAGTAATACTGAGGGCTTGTTTTTACAAACTTCCTCTTGGTGAGCATGTTCAATATATCCACTGTACATGCAACTTAGGCTTCATTCACATGCTATGTCTATTTTCTAAATTCTATTTTCTATTTGCGGTATGTCTTATGATCACGGTCTGTGCCCTGAATATCCCGCGGCGTAATTACTGGCAGCGCGAGCCAGTTACTATAAGTTACTATAAGTTAATAGAAAATAGAATAGAATAGCGAATAGAAAATAGATTTTTAGAAAATAGACATTCCATGTGAACGAAGCCTTATATGTAAACATACTAGCCACACATATGCTATTTTCTATTTACATATCCCCTCTATGATCTAACCCTTTTCCTCTCTTCAAGTGCCGCTTTAAGTAAGGAAGTCTTTTACCTTTAATAAAGCAAGTGTGCAACTACTGGGCTACATTTTCTTTTCATAAAATGTCATATGTAATTCAAAAATGTCCCATGTTATTTGTTAAAAAGATAAAAAAATATATTTTATATACCATTCCTCTCATCACTGCCAAACCTGAGGCAAATATGAAGTACAAGATGAGCAGTACATCAATGGGTCTCTTCCAAATGCTCTTCAAGGTGAACTCAGAAGATTCCTATCCAAGCAATAAAAATTAAAAGGCTGATAATAGAATTATGTACATGGTTTTGAAAATGATTCTAAATAGCCATCACTTATCCATTAAAAATCACATGATGCAAATAATTATTGGTCAGTTGTTTGATGTCCATTGTTTGCAATTCTGTTGACTTTAAAATTATAAAATCATGCTGGTTCTTTTTCATTGGTTGTTTGGTCACTACAAAATCTAATACCTTTAGCACTGGAACCGGTTCCCTCAAAAGTTTTACACCAAACCAGACAGGCACAATACAGTATGGGATATTCAGGAGAAATGACCATTTTATTCCATACTTCCCTGAATTACAACAATTATATGTATCATACAATATTTTATTACTTTACTGTTAACTATAACAATACATTTGTCCTTAAATGATGTCTCTCTGAATAAAATTATCTCACTTAAGAATATTTCTTTTCGGGCAGACCCAAGCTAACCTGCCAGTGTTCCTTAAACCTGCACAGACCTGGGAGTTATTTTACCCTTTCATTTATATCTCTTTCATTTATATTTCTGTCTCTGTAATACAATGATACACAGACGCAAGCTCACCTGTCAGTATACCTAACACAAGTATATGTACAATTACATGCAGCCCCCAATGCCAGTGCACCTAGTATCAGCACAGCCATACACTACCCTCAAACTCACCTGTCAGTGTGCCTAATACAAGCACAATCAAATCAAATCAAGCCTACTAGCTCATCTCATATCTATCAGTGTACCTAGTACCAACACAACCATATACCTCCAAACTCACCTGTCAGTGAGCCTTGTACCAGAACAAGCATATGTGGCCTCCAAGCTCATCAGTCAGTGTATGACTAAATAGTACCAATGCAAGCATAACCTCCAAACTCACCTGTCAGTGCACATAGTGAGCGTCAACAAATAAAGCATTAAACTGGTCATTACGGTATGTGTCCTTGGGTTTTCTTCAAGTGACTTTACGTAAATCTGACATGAACTGTGGAATTATGGACTGCATTTTTTGGTGGTATTAAAAAACTTCATTACATAAGTATGAAAAGTTACCATTACTTATAAGGCCATAAAACAAGTCAAGTGCACAAGCAAAGGACTCCATTAAAATTAATTTATGAGTCTGGGGGTTATTTTTGTAAACTAAACACAGGGGTTATCATTGTGAACTAAACAAGAGTACCACCATCAGGCCCGTAGCCAGTAATTTCAAAAGGGGGGGTTCGTTTTTTGAAAAAGTGGACCTTTTCCCATAAAAACTTCATGTACCTAGATCAAATTTTCCCCAGAGTGGACCTTTTCCCAGCAAAAGGCATGGTTCTTTTGAACCCCCCGAACCCCCCCTGGCTACGGGCCTGACCATAATCATATGCAGACTTCAAACTCACTTGCCAGTGCACCTAGTATCAACACAATCATAAAAAGCTGTTTTGCTATAGCTCACCTGTTAGTGCACCCAGCACAAGCACAATCATGCTTTGTGTGATAGATCCCACCCAGTACAGACCAACTTCATGGTAGCCCTGACTGCAAAAGAAAAGCACAATAATCACTCTGTAGCTTAGATCTAATGACAATGGTCTGTTCAGATAAGGTGCACTTCAGACTACATATATATATATATATGTGAGTAAGTTGCATCAAGAGATGATGATAATAATTAACTAAGTAATTTAAATTTATTTGTCTCTCTGAAATATGTTTGTATGATGACATGAGTTAATTACATTTAATGCCTAATAAAAGTGTATGAACAATTATTTTTTATCTACCCATACTTAGTAAAGTATTTCTACCCTTGTATGCTGGCTGAATGACTTGGTTCACTTATAATGAATAAAAACAAATGAGACAATAACAAGGTTTAAACAAACAAAGGAGCAGGTGCTTATAATTAATCCTATTTTCTGCAACATACAACATGTCATGCACAAAGTGTCAGTGAAGAACACATCACCAGCAATGATAAATTATAATTGTCTGTGACATACCCAACAGCTACAGTGAATAGTAGTGGATAAAGCAGCATGGAAACAAATGGCTAATACAAATACTTAACAATGACCAGGTTTATCGTTTTCATTTGGTGAAAGAAATATATTCTTTCCAACATGAACCAAACTTACTTTTGGATCCTTGTCCGTATTAAGAAGTATCATTTTAAAACAAAATATTATTTTGAGAAATATAATTTTGTTTGAAATTAGTGAGTTATTATCAAAATTGTTGAATTATCTCTAGGTTCACACTTCTCAACTTTCTTTGAGTTACTTGGTGGTGTACTAATAAATTAATATTTTTGAAACCATTTTATATGCACATTTTGATGTCCCACCCAAGGCCAGGACTAAGAATGAGTGGCACATATGGATTCATGTATCTAACATACAATTTATTATTATATATATATATATATATATATATATATATATATATATATATATATATATACACAAATTGTTTACTCTTGCTTGGTTGCAATCACTGAGTCAATAGGTATTATGTGCTGGACTATTTCCATTCAAACAACCATCTACTAGTACATTATGTCAGATAAAACAGACAAAATGTATCTGAATGACCAATGATCTCAAACATGGCATTCACACAGAGAGTTTTATATTCATGAACATATGAGCACCTATCTCTTACTCAAGACATAGTATTATAGTGATGGCAACGACATTCTGGAGTCTTGAGTGTGAGTCATTAACTTTACAACACTTTGTAATAATAATTGACATTAGCCTCAAAGTTTAATGCTGATAAATAAATAGAAGTCTCTCACTGTTATTGGTAAAGGTAGCAATCAGCAATGTCCCCATGTTATCCAAGATCTTCAAGGGAATTATTCAAGGTAACCCAAAGTTATTTGATTTTACTGGCATATTTAATGCATGCAAGCGAGACTTCTTAGGATTTGGAAGAAATTTGGATCAGAAATACTGAGTACTGGTAGACTAGCAAGCGCAGTGCAGCAACAATTGAAAGTTGACGGAATATATCCATGGATATTTTTCAATTTATTTTCTCTTAATTGCTGTCTTTTGCATACACAACACTGCATATCCGTGCTGTTTTGCATGTTACTTTTGTATTGCTTTCTAAAATGACATTCTTGCCACAGAGTTTCAATCTCCCTGTAAAAAAAAAATTGCCTAACCTTATGTGGATTATTATACAGATATAATTATAAAAATTAAGTCTTGTAGTTGTATGGCATGATTGGGCAGTCTACCCCTGTTATCAAATGATTTCCATTGCTGAATGATGGTACTGTATATCACATTAATAAAATTTACAAATATGACCAAAAGTATTGAAATTTTGACAAATAAGCTGATCATTCCTCTTTAAGAGTACAACTGACAGTGAAATGGTACCATTTCATGAATACTTACTTCCATGCCATAGCAGACAGCATGGACAAATACAACCCATAGTGAATAATGCCATCCCAGTAGTTAATGATAGTACCATGGGCAGTCCTTAGGTATGGTTCACCATGCTTCAGATAAAAGCTCATGAAACCTTCAATGATGCCATCCAACTCGAGTGCTGATATAAGGTCCACTACTGATGCCAGTGTGAAAATACTCATCACTGTAAAGAAATTTATGTAATTATATATTTTTAATCATCCACGTGCTTTATTCACACTCAGATATGTTGCTATATACCGATATATGTGTACCAAATGTCAACTCTCTATCATTTATTTACAAGTACTAAGTATATATAGAGGTTACAGAGCTTATCAATTCTCAAATTCATTAGGATAAATATTTATATTCTAGTCCCTCCTTCATATCATTTCTTTACCAGTGAACAAAGGGTTCGTTTTGCCGGTATTGTTTTTCCTGAGCAAACTCCACGTTATGGATATTACCAACAGGATTGCGACGGCCCCGATGACGAACACCAGTAGTTCGTTCTTTGACTGAACTGCATTGAATGCATAGTTACTGAAATAACAAAGCGGTATTGCTAAGAAAGAAGTGACGAACACCACTGTTGCATCATAAGCTGACATAACTGTTGGAAGCGCCTCTGAAATCAGAGAATCATCGCATATAGTAAAGGGTCCAAACTGCAGTGCGATATCCAAAATCTTCTGTACACTTTCAACGTTTCCCCACAAAACGACCTTGACCCAATTAAAGTTAAAAGTATAAACACAAGCACGTGACAACATGCGCGTTTTTCAAGTGGGCGGGGATTAGCGGAATTTACGAATGCATCAATTTTGTTTAAGACCTCTGTAATATTAGAGCAATTTTGCTTTAACTGATTTTGAAAAGAAAGACATGGATTTCCCGCCCCTTAAACTGAAGTTTAATGCCTTATAACAACAGTACATGCAGTACGTACAGTACCGGCACCGGTGGAACAAAATTTTAGCGGAGTGAGGGTCTGTGTAACAGAAAGTCCGCCCTCCATTTAATTATAATGGTTAGGGTTAGTCTCACCTGTACAAATGAATGGGAAGCGGACTCTCTGTTATGGGGGACTCTCTGTCACGTTACACGTAGTTCAGATGCTACTACTTATGTGTTACTGCATGGAGACAATATCTGCAATATTTGTGCACTGTGATCCTTGAAGGTGGGAGTTGGGTCAAATGCCCCGTTTTTTCTTTTCTTTCCTTTTTTTTAAAGACTTGAATTAATTAAATTCCCTTAATCCATTTTATTTGCATTCAAAACGTGACCCAACAAACCAGCACTTGATATTGTATACTTTATTGCCCTTTGAATTATATACAGTAATATAAACTAGTTTTCTTATATGTAGACATTATGTTTATTTGCATATTTTATATATAAAACATATAGATATCTCAGCTCACAGATACAGAGGAATGTAAAATATTAGTCAGAAATATATACCTGCATGTACATGTACTAGTATGTCCTAGAAATGTTTAATGTCTTTGATGTCAGTATAGTATAGCAACAAATATCTTTTCATGTGTAATAACACATGTAAAGGTAATTAAAATCAGTTAACAAAATTAAATGAATAAAATTAATAATCATATTGTTTTAAAGGAGATAACCTTGTTAATTAAAAAAATACTTCTTACATGACTTTTGCTTTTAGCGCGTTCAATAGGTGGAACGTACTGTTCATGGTACTTAAATAATGATGTATTTAGATTATAGACATGTCTAGCAGAGAAGTTTATGTAAAAGTTATATGTAAACTAAAGGGTAAAGCTGAAATGTTTACAAATGTAATGCAGATGGCAGGCAATAAATATGAAAAAATAAATATAGACACATCTGGTAAGTAAAGAGTGAATGCTCAAATCATTCCTTAGAAATGAAATAAAAGCAATGAAATATACTGCATTAATTGCCTACATTGTATATCAATAACAGCTATTTTGCACAAAAATAGGCCCAAAGGCAAAACTGTATGTTTTACAAGCACCTATTCCTTAAAATGCCATCTCACAATAAATAAATAATTTCCTACAGTAATTAAATTTTGTTTCCCACTCATCCTCACTATACTCCATGTCACATCCAAAGTGTTGTGTTTGTGTGTATATTAGCATTAATAATAACCAAAACATTAATAACCTTTAATAAGTAGCAACCCCACTTCTAATACTCCCATTGCACAATTCCAAATGAAGCTGGCATGCCCATGTTAAAACTTAACTCCCCAAAAGTGTTACAGACCCACTTTAGAACTTTACCCCCATAAGCGTTACAAGTCCACTTTAGATTTTTTCCCCAAAATGTTATATGTCCCCTTTAGAACTAGCATTTAAGTCCGACTCCAGCTCTGGCAACACAACAATCACAGGCAATTTCTATACCTCTTATAATCAACTTGTGACTGTACTTACTTATGTGCATAAGTTAAACTAGATTTAGGAAGACTGACTTAGGTAAGTTAAGTATACATAATACTGAAAATATGTGGCTCATTGAACCATTACTGGAACAAATATATATATATATATATATATATATATATATATATTTAATTTTGGTCTATAACATATTCCAATGCCTTAGATGCTGCTTCAGGTATTGCAGTTACACAACAGTCAGTGTCTGTGATGCCTCAAAGACAGAGCCTGGTTGTAATGTGTAAGGCTTGTGAACATAACCTGCTTCCACACAGATCATATTTGGATACTCTTCATCCCAAAAGTCTCCCATGGCTGCTGCTTTCTCTTTCCATGGGTTCCATAACACTGGAAAAGAAGATTTAGATATACATATGACATGCTGGTGTAAGCCACAGGTTAAGATTTCAAAGGTAAATAAAAGGTGAAACTAGATTTCCTTTTTTCGGAAAGCACTAGTTCACTTTTAGATTTCCTTTTTTCGGAAAGCATGAGTTCACTTTTAAATAAAAAAGACATACTAGATTAATATTCTGTTTTATCTTGTTATCACTAATTTAACACAAACTCTTTTCCCTCCCGCTTCCATTTATAATATTTTACCGATTTCAGGGAAGTTATCCTTTGTTAGCTTCACAGTGGTCCCATCTTCTTTATCTTTTATGAGAATTTCATTTGGGGTATTCAGGTAGATTCTGTATTGGAAATTAAGAAATAATACATTTCTATCACAAAATCAATTTTCATACAGGGACAATTCTCTCTAGCAAATTTGCTGCAAAGTTGCAAGATAAATTTTTATGTTCTTGCAACTTCGTTGCAAATTTGCCCCAAATTTGCTGTAAATACTTTCTTGCAAACTTTTTATGCCAACAAGGGGCTTCTTGCAAATTTGCAAGAATATATATTGTCTTTCTTGCAAACCTGCCACAAATTTAAAATGTTCTTCCAAATTTGCTGCTAATAAGCATCAATACAACTTTTTTTATGAACAGTTTTGTTTTTGCAAACATTTAGTTTGCAGCAACTTTTCATTTTGCTAAGGGGAAACATGTCTGATGAATACTTTCAGGAAAACTTTTGAAAAGTTTAATTTTGAAGAGTGAAATAATTAATCATCAATAACCTCAAATGGCCACAATTCAAATGTACTGTAATAACAAGAACGCTGTACCATTATTTATGTGAATAGCATTTTACTTTTCATGTGGGTAAACCCATATTAACCCTGAAAACATACCTGTCCACATTCTCTTCCACTATAATTGGGTCGTCTACTTGCTGGAATGTTTGGACTCCTTTTACCTATTAAATAAAACCCTTTTTAATGGGAAATTTTATTCAGCAAATGTTTAACAAATAATTTAATGTTCCATTGTTGACAAAACACATTGTTATTAGAGAAATTTGGTCAACATCATATGAATGACAAACAAAATTGATCCTAAAAGAGTGGTTCAGGTAAGATGCTGGTGGTGGATTCACAAATTATTTGTACAGATATGAGAGGCCGAAAGTGAAAAATTATGAACCCCTAAGCTCTCCCCCCCCCATCCCCCCAATGTCATTTCCAGATCTGCTAGAGTAACTTCTTCAGTCGCATAAAACATAATAATGGATGATAAACCACCCCTGCAAGGAGAGTGCAACTGTCTCTGATTATCATATACTCTAACAAATGTAAACTGTAGATTTTATTCTTTACTCAAGTCCATTCTGTAAATAAAAGACTGACCTTATCAATGTACTGCAGGTTGCCAAGCCCAAGCACATCCGTCTTTACCACATCTGATGTTCTGAAGTAAGTATGCAGCAAACAGGTGAAGTCAAAGGGTTTATTATCTGTAATGAAAAATGTAACATATTACAAATGTTAAACTCTGAAATATGATAACCCAACATTGTGTAAAGTGTTCAACCTAGTACTTATAGTCACCAATGTGCTAGCTCCAGTGGTCTTAAATGTCATATCAGGCAAGTCGAAACTATAAGTTAGGAAGTCCTTTTTGAAACTTCAAATGGGATACATTAGTTTAATATTATATTGTCAAAATTCTATTTAACAGTAAAGTATATGCAGAATGTGCAAGCCTGCAGACAGCGGGGTGGGTTGAAGAAATTCCATTTCTCTGAATCAAAATTTGATATATGTTCTATGTTATTGCTCAAATTGGGTCAACTAAGGGGTAAAAAGTCCACTTCATCAAACCCCCCCCCCCCCACACCCATTTGAAAATGCTGGCTGCAGTCTAATATGCAATGTACTACTACAAAAAGTAAATACATAAATTACACATAAATTATATATGTATATAATTTATTCAACCCACCCCGCTGTCTGCAGGCTTGCACATTCTGCATATACTTTACTGTTAATATATGTATATTTTTTTTTCTTCTACAAATATATAGGACAATTAATGTTGTTAACCTTTGTTCTCTACTTGAAACTTCATTCCAAATGAGTCTTCAGATAGCGTCAAAGTGTATGTCAACTTGAACCTGAAGCAAATAAAATAAAGAATCTGCATTTGACCTTCTTATATTGCAGACATCACCTCAAACCAATGATGAATATGCACCAAAAGGACATCACCCAGCAATGTGGCTTTGTACATGTAGGTATTATAGAAACTGGTAAACATACATGTATATTATATCATTCTTTTCAACCTGATACCAGGTTTCTTTCCTTGAAGTCAAATTTTCTAAATAACCCATTGTTATATGATAATCTCCAACTTTATAATCATGTCAGCCTTCAGCATTCTCCAGCTGCACTCTGCAAATAACCATTGAAAAACAATTTTTGTTACCTGTAGTAGGAGTGGGCAAATGAAAGCTTTTTTGGGAAATTTAATTTCAGACAAATGGATTCTATGGCCATTTTGGCTGCTGAATACAAATCTAATAAGTATTTTTATTTTAAATTACATCTGATATTGGTATCAGGTGATTTTTCAAAATGGCCACCAAACGCTCCCTCAAATCACATATTTCTCATGTAAATCTTTAAATATCAGTTCAAAGATGGCTTTTTATATGTCTAACCATATGATTTCATGATCAATGAGAGCAAATAGATACATCATTTCGGTTGGGTCACTTCATTTTGGGTTAAAAAGAGGGTTTTTTTGTCAATTTGAGGTAAAAATCACCCCAAAATTACCTTTTCTGTGTACATAAATACAAATGTTTATATGCAACTGTGGCTTTTAAATTAGGAAAAACAATAATACAACAAATATGGTCAATATTGTTCAAGGATCACATGAAACTGAAAAGTTTTGACATATAGAACAGCATAATGTTAGTTACATACGAGAATATTTACAGTAGAACACTCAGTAGCACAGCATTAAGGATATTGTTACTCTTTATTACCATCCAGTTACCGAAAATGAGTTTTTCCTGCATCTAATTATTCAGTAATGTATCTGTCTTTGTGCTGCTTTGAAACAATGAAAAAACTCTTGAAAATATGAAATATCGGCGTTTACATTTTTTTCATTGCAATGTATAAGCATAAGCAACTCAAAGCTTTAATCATCTATTTTTAAATTTTTGTTTTTGTTAAAACAGCTTTCGTTTTTGAGATTATAGTTAGCAATCCCTATGGGGCTTAACTTCATCCCTGAACAAGATTTTATCATGAAAATTGGCCAATGGACCACAAGGGCATGAGCTACAATCCCATGCCAACGTTTTGGTTTAAATGCTTTTGTTATGGAGTTATGAGTCCGTAATGATAGATCTTCTAAAAACAAAGGTATTATTTTGCTTTATCAACGATCAAATCTGAACTAAGGCTTTTAAAAAATCGCTGGCAGGGTTCTGGGGTACTATATGGTGTCATTAAATTGGCTTTGAAATAGTGATCACGGGTGTTCAGGTAAAACAGAAATTTGAGAAACCGATTTTTCAGTTTTTACCCCCAAACTGCAATTATGCCGTCACCCGTAAGATGACATGTGTAAATGTTAATTAATGTAATCACTGAACACTGAAAATTTATTTATCAACGAAAAGAATGTATGTAAGGCAGTAAATAAGGAGTTTTGGGTGAACGGTGACAATATCCTTGTCTTCATTTATAACCTAGTCACACTAGAGGCGGAATGAGCTAGAATGTAGTCGGAATGAAAATTTCTTGTTTATTCCTGGATATTTGAAGTATCTAAAAATTCTAAGCGCATTCTAAATGTTTGGGTCCATTCTTGCATCCTGTTAAAATGTTTTGCTCATTCTCAAAACTTTCGAAGTGCATTCCAAGTGGAAAAATATCGAATGGCATTCAAGTGTATTCTAACTGCACTATGAGCGCATTCTTAAGATTCTTACGAAATTCCAACGGCATTCGAAACATTTTGATCATTGAGGGAGAACCGAAATGGCAAGGAGCTTCAAATCTTGTCAGAATGTTCCACATTGTGCCTCCAATGAGCAGGAATGCAACTCAAATGCATCTTGAATCTTGATTGCAGGCCGGAATTCAGCCAGCAATGAAACCACACTTGTATGGCATTTGAAGTGCATTCTAAATATTCTCACTATATTTAGACAGCATTAACGATATTTCTAATGTGTTCCAACTACATTCGAGCTGCATTTGAGAGCTAATAAATTACAACCGAAATGTGCATGAACCATTCCAGGTGGGTTCGAAGCGCATTCTGAGGTATTCTTNACACATCATTTTTATGTACTTTACTGTGAAAATATGGCCAAAAAGCCATTTCCCGCCTTTTTTCACAAACAAATAGCAGATACCAATATAAATCTTTAGCTTTGGTAAAAAATATTGTCAGATTTGTGTTCAGCAGCAAAAATGGCCATAGAATCCACCTGTTTTAAAAAAATTTTGTCATTTGCCCACCCCTACCTGTAGTCCCACAATGCTCTGGTTATATCATCATCTTCCAAACTCAGCACTGCTGTCACATTTCCATCTTTATCCTTGATAAAAACAACACTATACATAAAATGCAAGAATAATCATGAAACATGACGTCTAGGCTTACTGAAATTAGGACTATGATAAAACGTCAGATATGTCACTGACAAATGTACTTTTAAGTCAGATCTGTGTATTTAGACAGGAAATTGGTGAATTTATGCCACTTTCTACTTTGTCAAACATTCCTGAAAATGGAATGTTTGGAGCTCCAACACAAAACAAATCTAAAAGCACATTTTTTAAAGATTCAGTTTACTTACTGCCACAGGTTCTTTTTCTACCTTCCATTTACTGGTTCTGGCAAAGCCATGCTGTGGGCCTAGTTCCCAAGGGCCAAAGTTAGCTGAAATAATCAGTGATAAATATAACATCTAGAACTTAAAACATATTGATCAAAGAGCCTGTACAGTAGGTATATAACAATGCATTAAGCAGCAACAAGCAATGTACTGATCACCTTTAGGTAGGGAATATACACAGAAAACATGAAATTATAAACTGTGAACAGGGATGAGATTGCCATTAAGAGAAAAAGTTTGATACCCAGATGTGGGGTCCATGGGGGGGCAATGATATTGTTGGCTCCCAAAAAGTTGGAAATCCGCAGATAGTCGGAAAAATCTTATCCCTGCTTTTATTAACAAATGCACAGCAAGGGCATGTTTAAAACCTATATATAATAAGGGTGTGTTCCCAATGAAACAACCATTCTATGTCAGGGGCGGATTTAGGAAGTCTTGTGGGTCTTCCCGAAGACCATCAGATTTTCAACTTTACATATTGACGGGTATCTATTTTTTTCTGTTGGAAGACGGTCAAAAATGGAGGATGGATCAATAAAGGTAATTTGGAAGACTGTCAGAAAATATCTCTGGATTCGCCCCTGTATGTAGATTGATTGCTGACTCCAGCTGATTGCAATTAAATTGAATAAATGACACACCTCCTCAGGCAGCTAGGGGATGATAAACTTTTGCATGGGCTCCACTTCTGGAATTAGCTTCTTCCTTTTGTTTTGAGTGAAACCAAATACACATGAAAGTATTAATCAACCCCTAGCTGCTTTTAAAAAAAGAAATGTCATTAAGTTAAAGTCATAATAACTCTTCGTTTTGGCCAAAAATTGGATTTTCCTGGAAAAAACGGCAATTTTCCCGTACTTACCAATGGCCAACGACCCCATTCCTGCATTCAAAGTTAATCCAGGGTTTTTTTCCTAAACGTTCGGTTTTTTGTTAAAATCTCTTAAGAGATTTTAACTGACGGAGCTCTCTCTGACATTGCAAAGTCACTGGTGACCTACTTAAAACCGCATGAAAAGCAGAC